GACCATCCTCGAGTCGCCTCACAGGGCCAACCCACTCCCACATTCGAGCAACGTCACCACTGGCTGTTGTGCGGACACCCGCACGGACATTGCTATTCTTCTCAACTTTCGCCTGGACTCTTTTCCACAGTTTCTGCCGACGCGACGCATTAAATTCAGTACGTAAGACGTCGTCACGAAGCTGTGTCATGCTAACGCCCTTTTCTACACCAGGAGCCTGATAGCTGAGTGCAGCTTGGTCTTGCAGTCTGTCATAAGCGTCGCTGGCTAGCTGCTTTGCGCGGATTTCCATTGCTCGATTGCTAGTATACGAGTATTTTCCGTAAGAGCCCGTAGCAATCACCAGGAAGAACATTACAATCTGGAGAAGATGTCGTTCAAAAGACTGTCGGAGGGATCGTCGGACGCTACAGGAGAGGGAGAGCTTTGCGAGAGAGGTTGATGCAAGACGTCGTTTGCCGGTTGTTCTGTATCCACGGAAGAGGAACTGATTAGTACAATTCCATGTCAGAAAAGATGCACACATGGTTTGGGACCTGAAAGAAGAGTACTTACTCATCAGTAGTTTGAACTACCTCTTCACGCATCAAAAGCTCAGGAAAAGCCCTGTCGAACAAATCGCTAAACTCTTGATCCGTCAAGCTCTTGCTTTTTTGTGCAGCCATTTGCTCCTTGAGGTCAATTTCGCTGACTTCGGGGCTTTCTACGGGGTGTCCTTCTGCGTCAGGCTCACCACATTCGTACTGTGCCTTGCGTTGTCGAAGGACCTCCACGGCTCTGTTGGCAATGCCGTTTACTTTACGAGTTTTCTCGCTGTCCGGCTCGCATGTCGGTGGGAGGGGCACCAGGCCACCAAGTGATAGTGGATGATCCTTCTTAATGAAATCGGGATCACATCGTACATTCAAACCTCGATAGCACTGGGCATGTGGTGGGCAAGGCTCACACTGCGGGAGGATTTGATCAGCCCAGCTCGGTATCTCCACACCAGCAAGTGCAGTGGCCTCTCGCCCAATACCGCAGAAGCCAACATTGATCTTCTCTTGTCGCCAAACGCCGGCAAAGGCCGCTGTAGCAGTAAGTAGGATAGTTCCTGCCATTGCTTTGATGGTACCAGTAGCCTTGTCTTTCTTCTGCCTTTTCCTTGGTGGGAGAATGTCCACCTCGCCGGCCTTTGCACGCTCACGCACCAGCTCGAGCTGCTCCTCGGGCGTAAACTCTTCCCCGGCATCCGCGGTATCCTCCTCCTCCTGCTTCGTACGAGGATCGGCAACGTCAAATGCTCCGCGTGTGGGTACCATAATGCCATCGTCTATTTGTTCAGTCTTGGGTTGGACTGTTCGTCGGCGGTGCACATCACTCTTGCGCCTCTCATGCTGGCTGTACCCTGTGGTCCGCCTTCGACGCTCGCGCGCGATAGTGTCTGGTATCGCCGGAGAGCTTCCGCTCTGAAAAGGGTTTTCCTGGGTAAAAGGGCTCGCCGCATCGTTACGGTGCCACGCTTCTGGTTCGGGTGATGGCTCTTTTGGAAGTGGAAGTGGAGCAGGTGTAGCGCTCTTGCGTGTGCGTCTAGCTGCAGGCCGCTCGTCTATCTCAGGCTCCACAGCCCTGCTGTGCTTTGCGGGCACAGTGCGGGAAGGTGTTTTGGAACGCGGTGCAGGCGCATCTGTCTCCTCCGTTGTTGCGCGCCCAGTTCTTCGTAGTGTTCGTCGCCCGGTCACAGGTGCGGGAGCCCCGGGCGTTTCTTCTTCGATATCGGTTGTATCCACTGTGCTGGCTGAGCTGGAAGGTACGTCTACAATGCCCCGCGTTGATCGCTTCGTCCGCGCATACGCCCGCTGAACTTGGGATTTTTGGGGTAGGACGATGTCGTTGAAGAGGCCTACGAGAATAGGCTTCTTTGCCGAAGATGGATAAGTGACGCCGTGGCGAAGGAGGATGCTGCGGAGTTCGGGCACCGTGATCTTGTTCGCATCCACACCGTCTTCGTAATACCAGTACTCCCCGCGCGCATCCGCCATCTTGTCGTCAGAGTATGTGCGAAGTCTGGACACGGAAAAATGTTTATCTTGGCGTCTGATGATGAGTCCGTATGAAAAGCTGTAGGAGGGGACGGTCCAGGCGGATACTTTGGTACTGTATGTAAGCAGTAGGTGGAGCAAGGAAAGTCTGTTTCGCTTGTTTGTGATGTCACCAAGGCAACAGGACGGTGGCCTGGTCCGTGCGCTCTCACGGGCTTTTCGTCTCTTGTACCGTCGCTTCAAAACTTTAAAACCTTAAAACAAAGTCAAACGCGACAAAGGCTTAATGTCATCGTGTACTAGGATAGTACCAGTAGTTTGTAGTTATCTTGAACTGGACGTTTTGTCGTGAAAGTCTCTCTGTTGGCATGTTTCACAGCTCGAGACCAGCTTTTGGACAAGCAGTATCCATACATGTTATGCTACAGCCTCATTGTTAACTTTAGTCTTTGTTCCGTCCCGGTAATGGCTCCTTTGCCAGTACTTTCGTGGAGGTACTTGCATGGGGCATTTACAAAGCTCGCTCGTAGTGAGATCTACCACTCCAGACAGTGTTAGTTCTTTCACATGATGAGACGGACACCCAGTGATGGCTGAGAAGCGCAAGCTGGTTAACTTCATCTGATGCAAGTTGGAATGCGTATTACAACTTAACATTTCCAATGAAGAAGCAGGGCTTTCGTGGCTACCGAGTGCGAAAGAATAATATACCATCGCAATGATGTAAGAATATGCTCTGCGGCTGCATATTGCCCAGCCTTCCCCAGATCAATATCAGAGTCAAGCTCCTCAAATCCATAGCACTTGGGACGCCCATTTGACGCAAGCATTCAGTCCCAGCCTCAAAGTAGCTAATTGTGGGGTATACACCGGCTTAATGTAGCTTAATCTCGACAACCCTGCGACATCACCACCTTCCTACCAATGAGACTACATTTTGCCCATCTTAGGCTACCGCTACTTTACTAGCAATGAATTCACGTGCCGCCATCGTCGCGTTCGAGAATAAGAGGCCCGCCCACTCCGTTCCCGGGCTTATACGGAGAGCAATGTGCCCCCGGACCGTATGGCCGCCGCTAGATCCACCCGGGGCCCTGAAATGGCGGCGTATAGATTGAGTAGCAGTACGACCGAGCGCATATTAAGTGCTTGTGCGAATCTGAACAAAGTCAGATGTCCTTTATGGGATATTAGAGTGCAGGGCTATGAACATGGATATGAAGCTTTGCCTGTGTTCTCGGGCCAGGAATGTAATTTATATACCACCGTGAAGTCGACATATTGCAACATCGGATTTGAGTTGACAACGCTCGTATCTTCACTCCTTAGGCTCTCTCTGTCTCTACAATCAAGATGTTGGGAAAAGTCACAATTGTCAATGCGCTCGTGAGCGCCGTCTCTGCAGGTTCGTCAGCACCTGGATGTCCTCATACATCACTAATACCCATCAGGCACAATCCTTTGGGATGGCCGCTTCAATGACATGACCTCGAGCGCCGATCTTGAGAAATGGTCTTGGGCAAACCAAGTCGGCAGTAAGCTTACCTACGCATTCGGACAACCACGATACCTAATCCTCCTCCCAGACTACCAATACTACATCCACGGCTCTGGTCCAACCTCGCGCTATGGTATATCCCCTCCCAATCTTCCCACACACACACACCCCAACCTAACCCCCCCACCCAGTCAACCTCTCCCCAAGCTACAAAAACTCGGGCGACACCGGCAGCAAGCAAGGTGCCAAAATCACCATCGACAGCACCGCAAAATGGAACAGCGACATGTGGCGCACCGAACTCATCCCACAAACCAAAGCTCCCATCAACCAAGGCACAGTCTTCTACCACTTCTCCATCAAGCGCTCCACCACAAACGTCCCCAGCGCAACAAACGAGCACCAAATCGCCTTCTTCGAGTCTCACTTCACAGAGCTGAAATACGGCTGGATCAGCGGCGAGTCCGGAACCAGCAATACCAACTTGTAAGTAACCGACCTCCCTCTGTCCCTGGTCCCCCCCCCCCAAAAAAAGAAGAATGTCACAAGCAAGCCTAATCCTGGCGTCAAGAACCAAAGAAAAAAAACAAGAAGAAGAAGAAAATGGCTAACATGTATGAACAACATTAGGCAATGGATGGTAAGCGGCCAAAGCAAATGGAAAACCGAGCTCAAACCCGACGAATGGCACAACGTCGCCTACGAGATCAATTTCTCCTCCAACCAAGTTTCCTTCTGGCACTCGACGGGTAATAGCTCGCTGGTCAAGACCGCGGGTCCCTTCTCAGCCGGTACCTCGTCCAACGGCGCGGATTGGCATTTGGGGGTGCTGAGGTTGCCCAGGTCCGGGCTTGATGGTACGGGAGCCGAGGATTGGTACTTTAGTGGTACGTATGTAGAGAGTGGACCGATTACTACCAGTGTTGCTAGTCCGGCGGCTTGAGCGTGATGATGGGTGGGGTGTTTGGAGGGATGGAAGGAGGGCGATGGGCGGGGCGGGGGAGGGGGGATTTGTGTATATAGGAGGTTCGATGCTTATGAATATATATGAATATGTGCTTTATGAGAACTCGTTTTCTTTTTTTTCATGAATCTTTTATTTCATTCCTTTATCCTGGTAAGCTACTCTTTGTGTTGTTTCTTCTTCGATACAATTTCCAAACATCATAGTATTGTACACACATATCATACCCAACCCAATCCTTTCCCCTCCACCTTCCTCCTCACTTCCATCTACCCTTCTTCTTCTACTGTCTGTTCATCAACATATAAATCTGACATCCACACCCCCCCCCCCCCCCTCCGCGTCCCCCGGCTCAAGCCCACTCCACATACTCATCCACAGAAACCAAGCGACCCTCTAACAAAACCCTCACTCGACTCTCTAAAATCCCTCCTCATCAAACGTCTCAAAGCTCGGGAAGAGACGAAGGTTAGCCGGTGTATCAGTAAAACTCGATCCGATCAACGTGTACCAATTGCTATTCGCCTTGAGACGGCAGGACTACTAGCTCATTCAGCTTCATGTCGCAGATACTAAGCGCAATCGCCTTGTCAAACGTGACATCGACAAACGTGGCGCCCCGTGCGGTATTGCCAGGGGGGAACAGTAGATAGTTTCGAAGTGGATATCGAGGCGAGTGTCCGGGTGGGGGGTTTTTTTTGCAAAAGAGGACGAGATCCGAAATGATCTGGGTGTTTTGGTGCCAGATATCTTCGGTGTTGAGGACTTTGACGCGCATGTGGTTGGCTTGCTTTTCTCGGAGGCGACGCAGGAAGGCGGCGCATTTTTGGGGGGCTGTGGTACTGTTGTCTTCGCTGTTGGTGAAGAAAATGGTGTTGTATCGCATGTCAAGCGCTTTGGTCTCTTGGTGAAGTTGCTGGCAGACGAGTTGAAGCTGGTTGATGGGGAATAGATGAGGCTCTATTGATTCTTCTTCGACTTCGTCGTCGCTCCATTCGATTCCCTCGAATTCTCCCCCGACGCCTTGGACGTAACTAGCCAACGTCACCAAGCGTTTGATAGCATAGGCCATGCTCCTCTGTGAGCACATACTCACAGACTAGATTCCGCATTTCCGCGGGGAGATCTAGAAAGTTGCGGGCCATAGGGGTTGTTATTGTTTGTATGAGTTGTATAATAAAAGAGAAGTGTGATGTAAGAGTTCACGAGACACGGGAGCAGAAAATACTATAGAGCAAAGGAAGTGCTGTTTAGTTTATGAGAGATACAAGCAGACTATATATCCACAGGAAACTCCGTTTCAGGAAATGCAGAAGGAGTGAAGCAGGCAGGTCAACAGACCCGGGAAAAGGCAGGAGCAAGCAGGCGGCAAAGCCCAACCCACGCTCAATTTTCATTCCGCCCTTTAAAGCAAGATATTTGGAGAGTGAAAAGCTGATGAAGCTAGATTGTACTCAGTGTTGCGTTCCTCTTCTGTGTCACATGGAAAGCTCATCAAATCCTAAATAGGCAAAAGTTCACTAAATGCATTGATCATTTTAGACTACATAACCCCATAAATGCTCATATTATCTTGAATCCCCAAACCCATTCATAAAACAGATAGCCAGCCCAGGCAGACCTCTATGTCGTACATATATGCAAGAACAGAAAAGAAAAAAAGGAACAAGAAACAAGAACAGAAAACGCTAGCAAACACCAACCATGCATCCCAAAAAAAAGAAATTCCACTCACTCACTCACCCATTACACAATCCGCGGACTCCCAACAACACTACTCCCGAACACGGGCTCCAACCTCACCCCACCAAAACTCCACCCATCAACAAAAACATCCTTCTTGTACCTCTTACTAACCAAGAAGCCCAATGCGCCATCCAGTCCCACATTGATCTCAATATCCCCCTGAATCTCCACCCACCCTTTCCCCTTATACTCCTCATACCGCCGACTCCCCACCCTGACCCTAATAGCATCAGGCTGCAGCAACACGGCCGCGACATCGGGGGTAATCTTCACATCAACAAAGCGTGTCGCAAAATTCTCCGCATCATACGGTTTACCGACGCTAAAGATGACGTCGCGGGGCGGGGTGTGCGAGGAAGAATGGAAAGAGACGAGGAAGGAGACTTTGTATTTGCCCTGTGGAATCCCCGTTTTGATGCTGCGGAGACAAATGTTGTCGGCGTGGAGACACTGGTATACGGCTGCTTCTTCGCGGCGGCCGTCGTGGTCTAGGTCCGCAGCTACAGGGTAAATCTTCCGTAGGCGACCGTTGTCGTCGAGGGCGAGGCCGCCCTCACCAGTAGGAGAGGTACTGCGGTTTGGTGGGCTAAGTGATACGTCGAGGCCGGAGCCGATGGGCATTCCGCTTTTGAAGTCTACATGGACGAGTTTGAAGGAGTCGTCGAGTTTGCGGGTGCCGGACATGCCGACGGCGAATTGGGTGGCGCCGATTTCGAATTTGGGGGGTAAGGCTGAGAGTTTGGCCATGCGCTCGCCAAAGTCGCGGGCGGCGCGGATTTGTTGGCCGTCGTTCATGTAGAGTTCAGTGAGGCTGGCCATTTCGTCTTCTTTCATCCATTGCTCTAGGCTGACGTCGGCGAGGCCGCGGTCCACATCGAAGCGGAAGTACTTTGTGTCCGAGTTGCTGTACATGCGCTTCATTTCGTTGTCGACGCGTGCTGTGCTGGTTGCCATGCCGGTGAGTGCGCTGGCGATGGAGATGTCGGTTCCGAGGCCAAAGGGGAGCCATGAGGCCATCTTCTTGACGCTGGGAATGCTCTGGAGACCCGTCCCGACTGAGACTATGACGCCAATGGACCGGTTCTCCCATAGTGCTTTGGCTGCGTAGTCGACTTCTGCACAGGGATTGTTGAAGCCTACACCGCCGTCAAGGTATGTGACTTTTGGTGTACCAAACTGCATCTCTTCGAAAAATGTCGGTGCTGCCGATGTTGCCCGTAACGCTTCCCAGATGCGAGTGGTTCGGTCGTTTGGATCGTATGTAGATAGAATTCTCGGAAGACCTAGTGCGTTCTTCAGCGAGGTGAGCACAAAGCCGCGACAGCCCTTTGCATTCGCTTTCCGGTGAACTGATTGCCGCTTGTGAAGCTTCCATGTAGGGGTTCTTGTGGGCGCTTTTGGAGTGAACGGACTTGAACTGTAGAGTGTAGATGAAGGCCTCGTTGTGCTCGTAGTACTGAGAGGCGGTCCCGATTCTAGTGAAGCCAACGAGTTCTTCATAGTCGCCAGTGGGCTTTCTGTGAGTACCAACTCGGGCGCGGCATCTGCCCAGATGCTGTCCCTAGGTAGTTCGTTTGCCTCTTCCACCTCTTCGAATAGCGCCTCGTCCCACATGAGCTCGTCAGGGTCGAAGCCCAGATCTTTGAGTGCAGTTTTGATGGCGTTTGCTAGCACGGCACCAGAAAATCGACTGGCTCCCGTTGGCACTTTCATACCAAATGCCTTGAATGATCGGTCGTGCTTGAAAATCTGCTCGGCCAGCTTGCTATAAACGGCTATGCACTGCTTGCAGTCAAGCCGTAACCGCGAAAGCATAATGGCTATGATTCCTCCAGTCGATGTGCCGCCAATGAGGTCGAAATAATCACATGGCTTGAGTGGCTCATGATTGTTCATCGCCCTCCTTCCAAGTCTCTTCTCTTCCAAAGCAATGTTTTCCATCAGTGTCTCGAGGACAAGTAGTGATGACAACCCGCGCACACCTCCTCCATCGAGCGAGAGCAACCGCAGTGGCGCATTTGGGTTCCTCTCCGAGTTGGAAAGCTCCATGTCTGAGGTTTGCCCAGATAGGCAGATGGTTCTCTTTCCGTGTTCTGTGTTCTGTATTCGATCCGGTGGACCAGTAGATTCACTGGTTTTTTTCTTCTTCAAATCTGCGAGTGCGTTGTTGGTTGGAAATGTAGGTAGTACAGTAGGATGCGACGACTAGATTCAAATGCCACCTATATATCTAGATCTGTCCTGGGGCGGCCTCTTCCAAGTCCCTGCAGTAGTGGTGACACAATGAGTCAGATGCTCGAGTCCTCTTATGAATATCAGTGTTGCCTGCAAGGCTGCGCTACCAGAGTCGATGGAAACCTATGACGTGCCAGAATCCGATAATTCAGGACACCACCAGAGGTTTAGGGCTGGGAACTACAAGCATCTTATAAATCTTCAAACTCACCTACCCCCCACATGGGCATTCCGGTGTGCTGTATTTGCATCCATGTGCATGGGGCCTTGAAGGCATCTTGGGGGCCAACTTATGCGCTTACACCTCAGGTGTGGTTAGCGAGGTCCACCTTTGTACAGAAGCGGCAATGCGCTGCGCCACGACGGCTATGCGGCGCAGGGGCATTGAGTCTAGCACGAGTAGTGTGCATACAGCGTGCGTTGCAGCCATTTGGTGGACTTGAGTGGTGCAGAGCAGCGAAAATCAATGATTCAAGAGTCGATGTGCATTGGTGGGTGTGGCAGCAGGAAAAAGCGTGTGCGGCTGTGACGTGTGCTGGGGAGGGTCGGCGAATGACTGGCGGTGTCCGAGGCAGCTGCGCCTCGAGTGGGTGTGTCGCTGCACACATTGGGTCAGCAGATGGGCGGGGCTCGTATCAGACGTGCAGGAAACGCCAAGCTGAGGCTCTGCGATAGACATGCACGCTGATGTATTGGTTTGGAACGTCCGTCAGAGTGGCAGAAACGAAACAGGGCGCTGACTGGCCCTGTGAAATATTATATTACATGGGGTACTATGCGTTGAAGACGTGCGACTATGGCAAACCAGGTGTGCAAAACCAATATGCTAAATGTTCAAACCCTGGGTATTATAATCGAATGCTCTGTAACGCCGTACATAATCCTCCATGCTGGTTCATTGTCGTCATTAAGTCGTAAATCGTCATCATTAGAAGTGTGGTGGTGCAGGCTGTATGCTGCGAATAATAGTCTGTGAACATGTTAGTGGTTGCATCATGCAAGGTGTGTAGTGGACAACTCACACTTGTCATCTCGTCCAGCATGTTCTAGCACGTCGGGAATAAGCATTCTGGACCCAGCGGGAATAGTACCATGGGCTATGAGGTCATGCTGGCGAGATGGTAAAGGATGCTTTTTTTTGTTCAGTTTGAGAGGGCCTGGAAGCCTGTCCAATCCATGTAGGCCGATGTTCGTTGGTCGTACATGGCCTCCAGACAGGCGTCGGACTCTTTTGCTCGGAGGGTTCTCAGATTCTCGATCTTGGGGCTGTCCTTGCGCCTCAGTTTCTGCCTTGGGATGTAGACTGGCGAGGGTGAGGTCATGATGGTCCAGTACGTCGGTGTGAAGTAGCACATTGGCGAGCGAGGACGGTTGTCCGGTGAACTGGGTGGGGATGAGGCCGGTGTTGATGGTGTTGACGGTGCCGAAGCCGAAAAACTGGCAGCCTCTGAGAAGACGGAGGGGGTGGGCGACGAGGCTACAGAGCTGGTGTGGGAAGTGACGGGTGACAGTACCGTGGGTGATGCAGGTTGGAAAGGGGCAAACTGGCTGGGACCGGGGCGGCGCACACTCCCCTTTCCAGAGAGTGGGGATGGTCGTTTTGGGGTGGAAGCAGTGAGGGAAGATGGTGTTGATGGCGTCGGCTTTGATGGTGTTGTTTTTGTTGGGATCGCTTTTGAGGGGGCGGGTTTTGATGGAGTAGCCATTGTTGGGACGGGTGGTGGAGGCCTTGTTGGAGGAGGTATGGCTTGGAAGATTCTTGGCGGCAAGGGTTTTGGTTTTGATGGTGTGGCTTTTGATAGGGTAGGCTGTGGCTTGGTGGTAGTGGTAGTGGTACTGATGGTGGTAGTGATAGTGGTAGGGAATAGGGTGGGTGGTTGTTCACTTGGTGACGTGGGCGGGGGCATCAAGGTAGAGGGGTGGTGGGTCGGCTCGGGCGGTTGCGCATCTTCTCTATGGGACAGCGGCGAGGGTTTTCGTTCCGAGGCCATGGCACGTCGGACGCGCGGCGGCAGCGTGTTTCTCCTGCTGAAGAGTGGCGAGGGGCTCTTGACAATGTCCGAGTTGAACTGGAAGGGCTCTGGTGGTCTAACGGGGCGCGATGATCCGGAGGGCAGCGAGTTGCTCCTGCTGGGCATGGACTTGGTCTTGCTGAAGAGTGGCTGGGGCACAAGGTCGGTTTCGGATCCAAAGGTGAACATGGGCGGGCCGAGCATGTCGACGTCGGGCTTGTCTGCTGGCGCGGCCGTCTCTGGTTTTTTGTACTGGTAGAACTGGCGATAGGGGTGTCGTCGGGGTACTGGCGGTGTTTTGCATAACGTCAACGTCTCGTCCATCAACACGTCGAGGTCGGCCATCTTTCTTTTCATGCTAGACGGCCGCGTCCCACGAAGCCAAAAGTCGCAGCCTCGTCGTGGTAGAGTCGGGGAGGGGCGTCGGGGGGAACAAGTTTATGTCGTGGTGGATGGATGGATGGGTGGGTGGTGCGGCGCAAGCGAGGCGACGCTGTGTGGTGTCTGTCTAGTCGGCTGGGCGGCGGCGAGGGCGGCGACAGGCAAGGGCAGGTGCAAGTGCAAGCACAAAGGGCAGGGCGGGAATTTTAGGAGGGCTCTGGCAGCATGACCAGACTAGGCCGAATGCTCAGGAGACGCCAATTAGTCGGTCAAGTCCCGGTTTACGTGCGCGGCCACGCGAGGCAGTGTTGGCCGCCATTGGACGGGCGCTGCACAAGCTGGACGGGCGATCCAAACTCTGCCAGCGTGGCTGGGCCTCTGTAGCCCTGCACCCGTGCCTTTGACCGCCCCACGCGGTGGAGAGACGAATGGATGACCCCTCACCCTGCCCGGCGCTTCTATTCTCTATACGTCCATGCCGTCTACACACATGGACGTGTGGATGTACGTATGTCATGTCTATCACACACCGGCCGCCTCCCCGCCAACCATTACTGCCCCTCTGCCAGCTGCTGCTGACGACGATGCTCCTTGCGACGCCTGCCGTGAGCGAGCTGTACTGCCGCCCGACATACTACGCACTGCATACAAGCAATCTCGTCTTCCCCAACCAAAACCGGACAAGACGGGAGCTAGCGACGTCCGGCTCAGCGGCTCTCTTCAGCTGCATCCCCGGAAATCGAGACGCTCAGGTTTTTGTTGCCAGCCAACATGTCATGGCGCATGCACCCCTCGTCCCCAACGGTGCCGTCCCGGGCTGAGGTCATACACCCTACACTCGTACCTAGTGTGTCTGTGTGTCTGTCTATGTGTATGTGTGTACTACACACACTCTCTCTCCAACAAAGCCTGCTGTCTGTTGTCTGTGTCTCACATCCAGCGCATGCTTCTCACCCACGCGTGACACGCCTGACTCAGGCAAAGACGGTGTGTGTGTAGTAAACAATGAACATGTGTTCTCATTCGTCCACGCTTAGGCCTCCTCATTCCGCTCCCACCCCGCCAACCAAAGCAACCCGGCCCCTCAGCAAAATACTCTACATACTACTATATGCCGCGCCCCCCCCTCTTCCAGTATTACAATCACTTATTCTAGAAACAAATTTGAGAAAAAGACCCTCGTCGCAGCATACACGCGACTAAACTAACTTACCCCCTTGTAAATGCACACGTTAACCGTACAAGCCCCTTTGGTATCATTCACGATTACGCAAACCACGTTACGCACATGGCAAACTCTCTTTCTAATTATATTCACAGCCCCCTCCCCCCTCTTGATGCTCATCCTTTCTCTCTCTCTTTCAATCCACGTCACCAGAAAACGTTCGTCGCCGTACATTTGCCTCTCTGATGTTGTTGAGCGGGATGCCGAAATCGTCCTCATCCCAGTCTGCCTCGTCATCTGACTCCCACGAACACGGGATCTTCTCGGCGCGGCGGGCACGATATGCACTCAGCCCAATGCCGTTGGAGATGGTCGTGGCAATCCGCAACATCATCGACACCAGATGTGCTGGCGGGCCCAGCACAATCTCATACGTCTTGCGCACTAGGGCATTGGTAAACTCTTTGCCAGGGCTGTGCTTGGGTGGATAGAACAGGTTTTGCGTCGGGGGCATCGGCGAAAACGCCCGTCGCTGCGACGCCCCCGTCAGTCGCTTCATTCTTATGGCCTCTGGTGGTGTGGCAATATCCAGGCTGGCGCGGCCAAGACTGTCGCTGTCCGAGTCACTGACCAGCGGCGGGGTAGACGGCGCTGACGACGGGCGCATATTGGTCGACACAATCGTCGTAGCATAGTATGGGACCGTGGGAGTCACGGGCACAGATGCATCGGTCCGTTCTATGGACAAAGCACGCACCGTCGCCTCTGATATATGTCTGCGGTGTGTCGAGCGTCCCCGGGGCTCGTCTGCTTGCTGTGCCGAGAAGGTAGCTGCCCACGGGTTCGTGTCCACTGTCTCAGCGTCCATAAACTTTGGTGAGGGGCTTCGTGGAGTAACCGTCTCGAGAGAGTAGAATGAGTCAGTGCTGGAGATCAGGCTGCCGGCATCCGACACCTGACGCTCAAGCACTGGCTTCTCTGCGTCCCAACTCGGCTGACCTGTTGGCGACTCAATGATGCTCTGCATTGCAGACACAGATCCCGTCCTCTGCGTCTTGATTGGTGCCGTGACCGACCGTACACCCTGAAATATGCTTGCGCGTTCTGCCACAGAGAGACGGCGTGGCGACGGCTGGGACGGAGGCAACAAGCTGTGCGACTCTGGAAGTATCCTCACAAACGGAATCTCTGGTGCTTCGGGTACCGCCTCACTGTTGTCCGTGCAGATGCTCCGTCGGTCATCCTCGTCGTTGGACGAAGCAGTGCTGGCCTCTGAGCGTTCAGTCCCGGCAGTAGAAGGCCTCGACCCGTATTGTTCCGGCACCCACGTCTTGTCCAAAATCCACTTCTTCGCCTGTCCCGAAGGCTTTCTCTTGATTGTCTTGCGCGGCGGACTCTTTGGTCGCTGCAGCTCTTCAATCCCAGCACCTCGTCGGAAGGGGCACCGCGTCCGCTCATACTGCATCACTTGGGCGAGGACCGACTGGAAGTGGGTGATTTTGGCCTTGTCCTCTTCAGTCTCATAGGGGAGTTCGATACGATAATACGAGTCTTGCCGGACCCGCAGCACGAAGACAGACTGGTTGTCGACGCACCAGCATTGCGAACGCGGGAAGATGGTATGGAGCAGGTTGCCGCTGTTGAGGAAGGAGACATTGGACGCGGTTACACGGTAGATGCGTAGGACGCCTGGTCAGGCATTAGCATTGCTCACAGCTCGTGGCACCTGGGACGACATACCGACTGCCAGGGTACGCTCCGTGGGCGTCTTCCACGGTATCGGCTGCCATGCGTCACCTTGACGTTGTGGTGAGGGGCGCCGGGCCGAGGTGGCTGTGGTAAAGGAGAAGATCCTAGAGTCGGAACAAACAAAGAGGGTTTCGATGCCATCGACGCTGTTTGCAGACGCGGGCACTGATGCTGTCCTTGGTGCAGTGCGCGTGGGAAGGGTGAAGCTCCTCCGTGCGGCTACAGGGTTGTTGGCCGTCAGAGGGGAGGGCGCGTCATGGAGGTGCTGGGGTGAAGCCGGCAGGGACATGGCGGGCCAGCTATGCGAGCATTTCGGGGCTGAAGAGGCTGCGTCTGCGGCGAGGATAGTGTATACGAGGAAGCGTCCGGCGCCTGGTACGAGGGATTCGACGTGTGCTCAACAAGAGTCGTGTGCGTGTTGAGGGCGAGGTCGTCTCAGCTCTGTCCGTCCCTGGCCGGCGGCGGACGAGTACGCGCTACCGCCATGGCCACTGGGACGGTGTCGAGTCTCAGCCCGGTCAGCCCATGGCGGCGGCAACCCCACGTCTCTCTGACATGAGCCACACCGCAGTATCAGCGGGCACGACTGATGAAATGAATGAATCAATGACTGAATCAATCTAGTGAGACTACAGTGACTTTATACAGACATGACAGCGCGCCTGCCCCGCGTTCGCGACAACGCTACATGGCACCTGCAACAGTGACGGCGCGGGTGCTGGCGTAGCAGTAGCTCCATGTTCGTCATCTGCTCCACCAGTTCGCAGGCGTTCGCACACCACACAGTCGAGGCCGACGTGGAGCCACGACGTACGTGTGCACTGAGCCTCTGCTGTGTGCTCTCGTCAGACCACTGCACTGCTCATCCGACTGCCTGCTCAGACTGCCCGCCATGGACAAAATCGACATGGCCAACTTCGATGTGTCCAATTTCGACCCCAATGCCATCCTGCGGGGCGCCCAGCTGACTCTAGTTGGCGGTATGTTGCTACCCATCAGGGTGTCGCGATCTTTCACAGCTGCTGTCTGACACGCTGCGCAGTCAATCGAGCCCTCCAGAACCCGCGTCTCTTCACCTCCGACCACTACCGCCAGGCCGCCATAGCCGTAGCTGCTGGCGTCGCCATCCGCATCATCGTCGCCATTCCCGTACGTTCCGCAGCATAGCCTGGTCAGGTCTACAGCAAACAGCGTTGCTTACACACTTTAGATTGTTGGTGTACGAGTGCTACTATGGATCCTCTCGCTGTTTATCGACATGAGCCAGACGGGCTTGGACGAATCCATCATCGATGGCCTCCACTTCCTTGAACACTCGGTACTTCAGATACCCTTCTTCCTCATGACGCTGATGCGCTATGTGACGCCAACGCTCGACCAAATGTAAGCCACCACCCCCACCACCACTTGTACTAGGACTTTTTTAACCTCCATCTTTGCAGGTTCATGGACTCGCTGCGTTGGGTCGACGAGACGTACGTACAAAAGCACAAGACGGACGACCCGCACAACCTCCGCGCCATGTACTATCCCAACCTCCAAATGTACCCCGACCACGCACCTAAGCCGGAGAAGAAGGAGAAGAAGCCCCTCAAGCAGACTGTGATAATGTATGCCACAAAACAGAGCAGAAAGGCGGCCATTTCACTAGGAGTCCTGGCCCTCTCCTACGTGCCCTATATTGGACGCTTGGTGCTCCCGGCTGCCAGTTTCTACACATTCAAGAAAGCGGTGGGAACTCAGCCAGCAGCTGCCATTTTCGCAATGTCTCTCCTCTTCCCTCGCAGGTACTTGGTCAGCTTCCTGCAAGCCTACTTTTCTTCTCGCACGCTTATGCGTGAGCTGGTATGTTCCGCTTTCGGTATCTCCAAAACCTTATTCCGCTGACATCCGTAAGCTCGAGCCGTACTTCAGCCGTGTCCGTTACACCAAGGAGCAGAAGAAGCTTTGGTTCAGAGACCGTGCCGGGGTTCTTTTTGGGTTCGGCCTAGGCTTCTACATCTTTGTCAAGATCCCACTCGTCGGCGTCCTTATCTACGGTCTCGCTGAAGCCTCGACGGCGTATCTCATCACCAAAATCACCGAACCACCTCTGCCGCCGGCCGAAGCCGAAAAGTTCAAGCAAGAGTCGCTCCGTTGGAAGAACAAGCACGAGTTTCTCGATATGCCCTGGCAGCACATGGACGAATATAATCTGGCAATGCACAGGCCCAAGGAACAGTCTGAAGTGCGCCAGACTCCGAGGAAGACATTTAGCTAGGACGGCACCATGTCCACCCCGCTTGGCCTAAACTGAGAGCAACCCCTCAGCCATGACGTACACGCAGCTTATTTCCGTGGAATCACTGACACCCAGGTTCAATTGGGCAGTTGTCAGCCAAGCGCAATGGACTGCTACGCTATCTGGTATGGCGGGATGATGATGTCCAATCTGGACATGCCCCGCAGTGGGGTTGACGCGTCTTGTTATGGGAGGTAGCCTGATAGCTCCATTCGATGATACATAACGTAACCGCATCGTATCAATGAGCTTATCATAGACGGTGTATCGATAGTTTGAGAGGGAATGTACGGTATCTCGGCAATTGGGTGTTGTAGCGATAACAATTCATGACCCGACCCGTTCGGCATTCCCCTTCGTCCGCCTGCCATTATATCATGAGCCCCTCTTTTTGTAATGGATTGTGTTTGCTCCTCCTTTACTTCCTTTTGATTTCTACCTCAGTCCTGAATTCTTAACTTGCAGATTTCAAACCGTTACTATGGGTAAAGACGCCATCCGATACGCAGCCAAAGTCGATCTAGACAAACCAGCAGCAGAGCAAGATTGCTTGCATGTGTGTCTCCCGTATATCACCCACACTTGACTATCCTATTCTAATCCAAAACTTCCCCGTTTCTTTAGAACCGCTGGCACCCCGAAAACCCTTCGTACGCCTCCATCAAGCCGGGTGAAGTCGTCAAGATCGAATGCGTCGATTGGACCGGCGGTCAAATCGGCAATAACGACTCAGCCGACGACGTGCGCAACGTCGATCTCACAAAGATCCACTATCTCACCGGTCCCTTTGACATTGAGACTGCAGAGCCAGGTGATGTGCTTGTAGTTGAGATTCAAGATGTTCAGCCACTAGACGAGCAGCCGTGGGGGTTTACTGGTATCTTTGCGAGAGAGAATGGAGGCGGATTTCTGGATGAGATTTATCCTGAGCCGTAAGTTTCTTTTTAATCTCTAAAATTGGTATATGTGTGGATACAGAGGGGAGAGAAAGAATGCTGATAAATAGAAAAGAGCAAAAGCGATATGGGATTTCGAAGGTATATTCTGTAGTTCCAGACACATTCCCGGCGTTAGATTCGCAGGCTTGATTCATCCTGGTAGTAAGTATATATATATATATATATTCCCTTCCCACAAATTAGAGAAGAAAAAAACAACTTTCCTAGATATAAGGAACAAAACTAACTCAAGAGCAAACAGTCCTCGGCTGCGCCCCCTCGCACGAAGTCCTCCAAACATGGAACAAACGCGAAGCCGAACTAATCTCCACCCACACGCACCTCAACCGCATCGTCGCCCAACCGCCTCAACCCCTCAACACGCACGCCGGCACCGCCTCGGGCGCCCTAAAAGCCCAAATCGCCCAAGAAGGCGCCCGCACCATCCCGGGCCGCCCCGAACACGGCGGAAACTGCGACATCAAGAACCTCTCTCGCGGCAGCAAAGTCTACCTCCCCGTCCACGTCCCCGGAGCAAAATTCAGCGTGGGCGACTTGCACTTCAGCCAGGGCGACGGCGAGATTTCCTTTTGCGGTGCGATTGAGATGGCGGGTGTAATCACGTTCAAGTTTTCGGTTATGAAGGGTGGGATGCAGGAGTTGGCCATGAAGAGTCCGATTTATATTCCTGGGCCCGTGGAGCCGCAGTTTGGTCCCGGGAGATATATTTATTTTGAGGGTTTTAGTGTGGATGAGACGGGAAAACAGCATTATCTTGACGCGACGGTGGCGTATAGGCAGACGTGTTTGAGGGCTATTGAGTATTTGAGGCGGTATGGTGAGTTTGAATTGTCTCCTTTCTTCGATATCTTTTTTTTTCCTTTCAAGCACTTGTACCCTCGTTTTTTTTCCTCTCTCTCTCTCTCTTACTTCATGATTCTTCCCTTTTCTTTTCTTTTTCAAGGTGGACTTTGTTTTTGGACATCCTTAACTTTTGCCGTGGCATGAACATGCTGTGAAACACGTCGAATTTCCCTCTATCTTCTTTTTTTTTCTGCGGAGGTTTACCAGGTTTCCTTTATACCGTACATCTTTTCCTGGCACTAACCGAGATATTACAAATAGGCTACAGCGACTATCAAATCTATCTGCTGCTGTCCTGTGCACCGGTACAGGGACATCTAGCGGGCATTGTCGATATACCCAACGCGTGTACGACTATGGGGTTGCCGATGGATATCTTTGACTTTGATATCAGTCCGCATGTTCCGGCTACGAAGAGGGATCTTGGTGCTTGTGCACATGCGTCAAAGTAGTATGCTACTACCCCACAGTGCATTTTTGATATGCAACTGTTTGTTTTTGTTTAGTCGTTGGTCTAGTTCTCAGATGTGGTTATTATCAAATAGCCCATGTATGTATTTTGAACTTGGTTGTCTCAGAGGAAATGATTGCAATCCCATAGGATCGTTGTGGTTCTCTGCCCAGGGATGTGGAGGTGTGAGAGAAATATCCTGTAATACCCGCACTGCCGCAACAACGGGTTGAGAGCATAATGAATGCAAAACTCAAATCCCCAAATCTAACATTCTGCTTATACCCTGGTTGTAAGGTGAGTTTTCTTTTATCTATTTCCGTGGTCTGAATGTTGATCCGTATCGATTGGAAAGGGCCGATTAGTTGCCCTGATGTTGGGGTTGAGAAAGCGACCCAAGGGAGAACAGAGAAGATATACAACACGATCCTCCGGATTACGAGCGAGGCTGAGTTTCCCTTGAACCGTATCTGTAAACTTTGGCTCTGTCCCGTGCGATCTCGATTCCGATCTTAATTCGATTAATTGACTAATGGAGACAGGTGACGCACCTCAGCATAGAGAGAATTTATGAAAGTGGGGGACAGATATTCAAGGCATTGTGTAACGAGTGGGGTAAATGCCGTGGTATTAGATCGGGCATTGGATAACCCGGTCATACTCTGATAATTATTCAACCGAGCACTGGCTGCTTTGCTGTGTTAGTTTGACCCGTGCAATCGCTGCATGACGCGCCAATCAATAAGAAGAAGTGACACACCGATTGTACATCAATGGCCCCTTAGAACAAAAGTCGAGGTAACTTTGAAGGATTTGTGTCAAAGCTGAGCGACATGTGGTTTCCTCGATCAATAACAATTTCTAACAAGAATCATGACATTTTAGAGCAGCCAGGACAGCGATACAACCGCGGCTACTGTTCGTCATTATGTAATACAGACAGCAAAATGTGGTATTATCGACAGACTTCGCTAACCTAAACGAGATGCGAGGTGGTAGTAGAGCAATGAATTGACTAGGACTGGCTTCTCTTAGCCCGGGAGATGGATGGCGTACCAGCGACGCAGAATCAGGAATATCCGCTACAGTTATGCCGTATGGTTCAGGAATCTCAAAGAAAGGTGTAGGATATGGTTATGAATATGTTGTTCAGAGACGGGGCGGAAAATTGTGATGGTAATGTAAACATGATGTATTGAGCCATGTTCATGGGTAATGCATAGTCGTTCTTCATACTTAAGAGATTACTAAGGGCACATGATAGCATCAAATCGCCCTGTCATCTTATGCCACGCCATAAGCCGAGTCGAAGCCGGGATTAGGTTTGAGTTTGGCTGACATGTGTAGTCCCAATGGTACATTACCATGTGACGCTCGGTACAAGTTTGCTGCGTTAGTCTCTTCACAGGACCTTTTCGGCAGCGGAGACTAAAATTGTTAGCTGCGTAGAGTCTTTATGCGCCAAGAAAGATTTACCATTGAGGCCAGTGTTGTCGGGTTCTACGTGCGCGGCCTTGACGGTACCGTTTTCGATGACGAGAGCGTATCGCTTTGAACGATCGCCTCCGAAGATGGACGCGCCATCAAAGGACAGATCAAGCGCTTTTGTGAAGCCAAGGCTAGGATCGCCCAAGAAACGAATCTGGCTGTTTTAATACAGGGTAGCTGAACTATGATGCGAGGTAACACTTACGCCACTCGAGCCGGAAGGATCAAGAATCTTACCCCATGCTTTCATACTAGGGATCCATAACGTTAGTACCAGAAAATGACAATCAGCTCCAAGGAACTGTTTATACAGGATTTTTTTTTCGTGGCAATGTCTCTTAGGCATGTCGTGTCCATGACCCACGAGTCAATCAAGACGTGGCCGCCACCGAATCGCCGAGTCAGCCATGAGGAGTCAGCTATGAGAAGGCATCCGTGGCTGCCGGGGTGATTTGTGTGAGGGGACTAATAAACCTACACAAACGGGTCGTTGACCGAGACGACAAAGACTTTGCCGGCATCTTTCAGCTTGGGAGAGTTGATGTAGCCGGGTACGTGGCTTTCCGAGCACGAAGGCGAAAAGGCGGCTGGGACACCTGCGGCTTCTGTCAGACGGCTGCACTTTTTGAAATGGAGATTGGCGCCGTGTTGGGCTCACCGACAATGACACCCTTGCCAGTCAACTCTTTGGCGAGGTTGACCTTATTACCGGGCGATCCCTCGACAAGGTCGACGTCAGGCAGCTTGTCGCCCACCTTGACGAATGCGGGCGACGAAGCATGGAACAGACGGCGGCCAGCGAGGGGGAGCGCGAGGGGCAGACGACGAGAGGCAAGAGAGAACATGGCGGGTGCAGTACTAGTAGACAGGCGAGCGTGTGCGCGTGTACGTAGTTGTAGTAGTAGGAAGTAGATTGTCGTGGGTACGTGTGTACATACGTAGTAGAGCACGTGTGTGTGAACTGGGGGTGGTGGTGGTGAAGGTGGGGGTGCTCAGTCTTGGCTTGTGTGTGTGTGTGTGCGCGGCAGGCGGCAGGCGGCAGGCGCAGGCCACGGCGACGGCCAAGGGCAGCGCCTTCCTCACCGACGTCTCTAAGAGGATGCAATCCGCAATATCCAGACGCCCGTTTCGGACGTGACAGGCTCCATAAATACGTTGCGGTGCGCATGCCAACCAAGAGCAGTACTCTAGGCCTCGCGGCGGCAAGCAGATTGCGGATAATGACTTGGCTTGGGGGGGAGGGGGGCCCACTGGTGCGTTAGTGGGTGCATCTTGCACGCTTGCTGTGCGGTGCCGATCCTACTACTGTGCGGCCGGTCATGGGCCGTCAGCGGCATAGCTAGCGGAGCTGCCCACGTCAAGAGGGCGACGAGACCCATGGCACAGCGACTGGAGAGGGTGGCGTGCGGTGCCCTGGGCGGCAGCAGCAGCAGCACCACCATCACTGCCACCACTGCACCTTGCATGCCTGCGCGCTTTTTCCCCCCCTCATCGACCGCAGATGCAGACACCAAGACATGTATCGCAGCCACGCAGGCGGGCTTTGCGGCGGGCTTTGCGGCGGGCGGCGGTCGATAATGTATGCGTGAATGTAGTATAAAAAGGGACACACGGCCCCCTCGTATCCGCCCGCCCCAGCATCCCTGTTCTCCTCGCTCGGCACGCCCGCTTGGCTCCCCTAGCCCATGCTCGACTGCAATCCTCTCCAAGGCCCGGGTTAACCTGCTTTAGGGCCGTTTAGCTCACAAGCCAACGAACAGAGCCCATGTCTCCTTGCCTCTTCCACCTGAAGGTCCAGATCTCGTCCATTGCCCTCCGTTCTCCTGCGACAAGCCGCGCCTGTTTTGGCTAATTTCGTCATCGTCCTTTCACCCTCTATTCCTCTCTGCCAAGCGACCACTCCCTACCACCCGTATATTCTAACGCGCACCCTGAGCCTCGCGCGCCCTCCGCCGTTTGCCGCACTCTCGACTCCCATCGTCCCAATTGCTCCTGTCCGTGCCCGGGGTCTCGACATCCATCTTGCCCATCGACGCGAGGTGCCTGTTCCTGTCGCGCACCCACTTGCACGGCCACCCAGGCATTCTGCGCCTCTTGCGCCTCTAACTCACTCGGCACCATGGACTCCAACCAAGGCGGTGGAGGCGGCTCCAACAACTCGAGCGACTTTGTGCGCAAGCTGTACAAGTACGTCGAGGCGCGCAGGTGTCCAGACCGAGACCCTTGAATTCACTAATGCCAATGCAGGATGCTCGAGAACCCCAGCGACGAAAGTGTAGTGCGGTGGGGCAATGACGGTGACAGTTTTGTCGTCTTGGAAGTATGCATCTACTAGTCCCATTCGTTTCGTTGCAGTCAAGTTAACCCCCAGGGCAGAACGAAAAGTTTACCAAACACATACTCCCCAAACACTTCAAGCACAGCAACTTTGCCAGTTTTGTGCGCCAACTGAACAAATATGATTTCCACAAAGTCCGCCACAACAACGAAGAAAATGGGCAGTCGCCCTACGGACCTGGGGTACGCTTTGCACACGCGCTTTGCGGCTATTGTCCGCTGGGCGTACTGTCCTGTATCTGACCCAACCATGGCTAACCAACACCACACAGGCCTGGGAATTCAAGCACCCGGATTTCAAAATGAATAACAAAGATGCACTCGACAACATTCGCCGAAAGGCTCCCGCGCCACGAAAACCAAACCAAGCAGCCGCTGAAGACTTTGCGCCCTCGCAGCAAATGGACATGGTCAGCGGGCAACTAATGGCGACGCAGGCCCAATTACACCAGCTCGAGGGCCGATACAACGAGCTGAACATTCATCATTCCATGCTTTTGCAAGAGGTCATCGGTTTACAAAAGACGGTCGTTAACCACGAGCACGTCATGCAGCAAATCATGACTTTCTTGCACGGGGTGGATGCAACGCAGCGGAGGAACAGCAAGCTCGTCTTCAATGGCGGCGAAGCACAGAATGGCAACATGGACCCCCCATCAAACAATGACGACGATAACCCGGCTTCGCCTTTGCAGCATGCCTCTAAGCTGCTCAGTGAAACCAACGCCGATGCCATGCTGAACCCCCGCAATCTGGAGCACATGAATGAGATTACCATGAGGATGAATGGCACCTTGACAACACCACCACCAGACTTTGCTCGGGCGCAAATGCGGCCCACAAGCCGTGGCCCGCCATCAGCGACTTCGACAAACTCGATGCGCCTGGACAACCTGGACAACCTCGTATACCCAGTCGGATCCTCCAACGGTATTGATCCCATGTACAGCGAGCACATCAACAACATTCCCTACGCTGCTCCACCAAAAGCCGTGGACCAAAACGAGCCCAAGGTACCCGAGGGAAAGAAGAAGAGTGCTTTCCCTGATCCAGGATGGATTAGGCCTCCACAAATCTTGCTTGTCGAGGACGACCCTACGTGTCGCCGTATCGGAAGCAAGTTTTTGTATGCTTTCCACTGCTCTATCGATAGTGCTGTAAGTTTCTTTTGGTCTCAACCCGCGCTACTTGTATTGACTGAGCTTAGCTCGACGGTCTTGAAGCTGTCAACAAGATGAATGCTGGCTCTAAATACGATTTGGTCTTGATGGATATCATCATGCCAAACCTCGACGGTGTCTCCGCATGTCATCTCATCCGGCAATTTGACACCACGCCTATTGTCGCTATGACATCGAACATTCGTAGCGATGACATTTCCATGTACTTCCAGCATGGTAAGACGATCCTGACTATCGTCTAGCTTTGTACTAACAAGACTAGGCATGAATGACGTTCTACCCAAGCCATTTACCAAGGAAGGGCTATTGCATATGTTGGAAAAGCATCTTGTCCATTTGAAAAAGCCATCGGCCCAAGGTGACGGGTCCATGGTGGCACCACAACCCGTACCGATAGCACGTCAGTTGGTGCTCAAAGAAGAGGAATCACCAGGCAAATCACCACAAGCCGTCAGTAACTGGAACTCGCCCAATCAAATCCCGGGCGTATCTCCCGTCGGCACTTCAGTCCCAGAAGACTTCGCGCAGGCTATGCGAGGGCAACCAGTGCAACACCCGAATTCATACGGAGTCAATCCTATGCAAGGGAACATGGGGTACAATGCTTCATCACACATGCAAATGCAATCACAGCAGCAGCAACAACAACAGCAGCAACAACAGCAGCAACAACAGCAGCAACAACAGCAGCAACAACAGCAGCAACAGCAACAGCAGCAACAGCAGCAGCAACAACAAGCACAACTACAAGGGCATCGCAGACAGGTCTCTGAGATTTCCGGTGGGGACGATATGAACAACCCAGCAAAACGTCAACAAATGTATCCTCCTCAGATGCAACAGCAAATGGGGGCAATGCAGCCGCGCCCTCATTGATTGGCGGCGTATTACATGAGCCTTAAGCGAAACCAAAAGAATTTTTTAAAAAAAAAACATAGAGGAGAGAAACTGGACACTGGCTTTCATGCCAGCAGGCATTAGCGACGGAGTTTTAATACGGAACCAGGCTGTTCTGTGCGGCTCGTAACCGAGATCCCATGGTCGCAAGACCATTTGTCGTGGCTGGCCCTTTGACGCTTTGTAGTAAAACGCAAGGATGCAACGGATCAAAAGCTATGTTGTGGGGGAAGGGTATCAAGGACTGTCGGTTCTGGGCGTTCAAGGTTGTAAAGTGACTTGTTGTTAAGTGACTTGGGAGCTGGGCTGGACATTTGCTAGGAAATACCCTACTTGCTAGAGAAACAATTTGACATGTTATTTTGCTCTGAGGTAACGGAGCTATAGGAGATCAAGACCTTGTCCTTATCAAAAACGAGTGCAGTGTGTTACTCCGCGGCGCGTAAAGCTACGCTGGCTGGCCATGAGCGGCACAGGAGACTTTTGTATCAACGCCTCGACTACAGGCGACGGGCTTTGTACAAAATCTGCACGTCAGGCTGCATCTGGTGCCTGTCACCATGAGATAGCGGACATGTTTCAGGGCGCAGGTGTCGTCGCAATAAGCATTTTGCAGTAGATGCTGCCCCCGGCGGTCCAGACCACCAAAGCCTGGCCAGAAGGCTGCGCACGAGCTCGTTCGATATTCATGCGCCCTGTTGCAGCGGCTTACCCGCAGAGCCTTCCCGCTAAAGGACCCGAGTCCAGACGGGACCCGGGGCACCGGTTTTGCGTGGTGGTCCCCGGTTTTGGGCTTGTGACTCAGCGGCGGTGGTGAGTGTGTGTGTGGAAGCTTTTTTGGATGTCGTAGCAAAACACCCCACTACCGACTACCCGCCCCATTCGACACCCCCCCAGCAGCCCACCTTTGATCCTTTTTGCGCAGTACAACACGTCCCCTTCAAGAATGCCGCCAAAAGGAAAAAAGGCGCAGGACAAGGGCAAGTCGGGCGAGGAGGAGCGCGACGAGCCGCTGCAGGCCGTGGTATGTAGTGCAATTCCCGGAATCCATACGGAATTTTGCTCACTCTGTAGATACTCGCCGACCCGTTTGAAACACGCTTCAGTCCCTTCACGCTTGAACACCCAAGGGTACGCATCCCCGTGCAGAGGCACCAGTCGCATGCTGACACGCTTGCTAGTGTCTGCTGCCCCTCGCAAACACCCCGCTCATCGAGTACACGTTCGAGTTCCTCGCAAACGCCGGCGTAGAAGAGGTCTTTGTATACTGCGGCGCACACCGACAACAGGTTGAAGACTACGTCAAGGCTTCAAAATGGTCCTCCAAGTCATCGCCCTTCTCCAAACTAGAGCTGATCCAGTCGACATCGCATTCCATCGGTGATGCGATGCGCGACCTCGACAGCAGGGGATTACTAGTCGGTGACTTTCTCTTGGTCTACGGTGATGTCGTCAGCAACCTGCCACTAGAGTCTGCGCTTGCAGCGCATAGAGTGCGACGATTGAAGGACAAGAATGCCATCATGACCATGGTGCTGCGCGAGGCTGGTACCAATCACAGGACGAAAGCCCAAGAAACCAGCCCCGTCTTCGTTATCGACCCCCGCAAGGACAGATGTTTACACTTTGAGCAAATGCCCAATCGGGAGCAGACGCACTATCTCTCCATCGATCCCGAGATACTCTCGACCCACCAAGAAATCGAGGTCCGCGAGGATCTAATCGACTGTGGTATCGATATCTGCACACCGGATGTGTTGGCATTGTGGAGTGACAACTTTGATTTCCAAGCGCCTCGCAAAGGCTTCCTACATAGCGTATTGAAAGACTATGAGCTCAACGGCAAAACCTTCCACACGCACATCATATCAGACCACTACGCGGCAAGAGTGCGGAATCTCCATGCTTACGACTCGGTTAGCAAGGATATCGTGTCACGCTGGGCGTATCCGCTATGTCCAGACAGCAACCTGGTGCAAGGGCAGTCATACAGGCTGCAGAAGCGTAACACATACAAGGAAGAGGGTGTCATTCTAGCTCGTGACTGCATCGTTGGGCCCAAAACGGTCATAGGACGGGGCACCAGCGTAGGCGAAAAGAGCGTCATTACCAACAGCATCATTGGAAGAAATTGCCAGATTGGTCGAAATGTCAAGATTGATGGAGCATACATCTGGGACTATGCTAGCATAGGGGATGGTAGCACGGTGACCAAGGCGATTATTGCAAACGAAGCAGCGATAGGGCGGAGGTGCACAATAGAGGCTGGTGCACTCATCTCATACGGAGTTAGCATTGGCGAGGGCATGACTGTTCAGGGAGAGCACAGAATCACAAGAACAAAGCGGAGACGAGAAGAAGGCGAGGAGCTCGTTCGAGGCGACGCGGAACCGGCTATTGTTGGTGAAAAAGGCGACGGATTCGAGTTTCACGACTCGGATGAGGATGATGAGGATGAACTTATCGAGGGTCTTGTCCTCAAGGGGCCGAGTAAGTCGAAACACTCAATCACCATAACCATGCTAATACAATTAGTGTACAACCTGTCAAATGAGTCAATATCGACGCTCAACTCGGACTCTGAAGCAGACGAGTACGACATAGAGCGCCGCGAGAGATCGGCGACGAGCAGTTTCCTTTCGGTAGGCTCTGCAGACAGCCAGCACGCGGCCAACTTTGATCACGATGCTTCGGCGAGTATCTACGACTCGCTGGTTGAGGGCCATGAATCTGCCAATATTCAGCTGGAACTCACAGCACTTCGTATGAGCACCAACGCGTCGGACCATCAGGTCAGACGTGCAGTCGTCTCGTCTTTCGTCAAGCGTGTTATTTCACTCATCAAATCGGGCGAGACAATGAAAAGCGCAATTGCGCAAGTCTTTGGGCAACACAAGGAGCTCATCGATCGATCTATCTTCGATAAGAGCGCACAAAGCAAGGTTGATCAGATCGACTTTCTACTGTTGCTGCAAGCAGACCTGTGCAACAAGGAAAACGGCGATAGCATCCTGCTAAGCACAGCAACCAAGCTTGTTGAGTTGGATTGTATCGAGGAGGATGGCATGCTGCAGTGGTGGGAAGATGAGAAGAGCACGGAGAATGCAGAGATGGCCAAGGTGCGGGAAAAGACAAAGTCGCTCATCGACTTCTTGCAGCAGGAGAGTGAAGATGAGAGTGAGGAGGATGATGATGATGAGGAGAGTGAAGAGGACGAGTAGATGGGTGTAAGCTGAAGTCCTTGAGGTCAAAATCAATGACCACCGACATTAAGCCGATGCATTGGGTGCTTGCAAAAAAATAAAAATTGGCATCATGATACAAGCAGGTTCTCTCTTTTTTTTCTTATCTATGCTTTCTACAGTGTCCCTTGGGGTAACAGTCTCCAAATCCCAATGTGGAGGTTTAGCAACAACTCTGCGCCCACACCTGTCAAGACGTGGGGTGGCGCAGAACTGTTTTTCTTCTCGTGTTCTTTTTCTGTTCGCTCACAGGCAGGAGACGTGCAATGTCGTGGTGAAACACAAAAAGCACGGCATGGTTGTCGGAGCATATCCGAGGTCACGGGCACGTGTGTGCGAGAGATGGTGTGGAGGGCCCTACAAATATAGAACCATGGTAGGTGGGCAGCGCTACTGCAGGAGTCACAGGCTGCAACATGGAAGGGTGGACGAGGGTAGCAAAAGGAGAGTGTTAAGGTTCAGAGGAGGTTTGAGCCGGTGTTTGCGGTGCATGGTATGGGCAGGCGCCACATGGAAAGGCGGCGAAGATCCGGAGAGGCGCACTGGGTGCTGGTGCGGTTGCCTCTTTACGTCAGCCCCCCCCCGAGGCTACAGCCCGAGCCACTCATCGGGTGAGGTGCCCGCATCCAGGACCGCCGACTGCATTCCACCTTTGACCACCCCCAACTCTCGCCTTTGTTGCAGCCGCCTCGCTGGCCAATACCCTTGTCTTCTGTGCCCAACTGTCAACTGTCCCGCCACTGTCCACCGTCCACGCGCACCCAAGGCCTGCCTTATCAGCCGCCGCTCACAGTCACACACACGCACACGCATCCATACCCACCCTCGCCGCAGTAGCCTAGTGTTCCGTCATCAGGCGGGACACGCCCAACCAAGACGCCTTCCTCTACAGTTCGCAAGCGGAAGGCTGACGAGGCGAACTACCTCAGTCCCGCAGAGGAGCCTCCCACCAAGAAGTCGCAGCTCTCACCTGTCCGTCACCTCTCACACACCCCCGCTGCACCCGACGCCCCCGATATGGATTCCGACGACGACTTCAACAGCTCCATGAGCGGCGATGGCTTCGACGACCAGGATAGCGACATGGGCCTGGAGGATGGTGCGTAGACTATTCTATGTTTTTCAAATGGCTGACTAGGTGGCTGACTGACTGACTGCGTGTAGACTCCGACTTCGACATGGACCAAGACGATGTCGGCTTCGAGTCCCAAGACAAAGACATCAAGCCCACCAAGCAGGCTTACGAAGTAGATTTCAAAGTCTTTGACCCGGTCCAAATTCAGGCACAGCAAGACAAGCAGGTCGACGAAGTATCGAGTATCCTCGGCCAGCCGCCTGAAGCCACCGCCATCCTCCTCCGCCACCTACGATGGAACAAGGAACGCCTAATCGACCAGTACATGGAGAAGACAGAGGAGATCTTGGAGACAGCAGGCCTGAGTCAGGATTCCACCACCAATCCGCCAAAGATTCAAAAGGTCAAAGGCTTTGTCTGCGACATTTGCTGCGACGACGACCCCAACATGGACACATTCGCCATGAAGTGTGGTCACCGCTTCTGCCTGGATTGCTACAGGCAGTACCTCGCCACCAAGATCCAAGACGAGGGAGAGGCGGCTAGAATACGATGTCCCGGTGAGGGCTGCACTAGGATAGTGGACTCCAAATCGCTAGACCTGCTTGTTACAGCAGATCTGCATGAAAGGTATGGTAATTTCCGCCTCACTTTCCTTGCATTTTACTAATATATATATAGATACCACACCCTTCTCACACGAACCTATGTCGACGACAAAGAGAATCTCAAATGGTGCCCTGCCCCCGACTGCAAATATGCTATCGAATGCCCGGTTAAGAGCAAGGAACTCACGAGGGTCGTTCCCACTGTACACTGCGATTGCGGACACGCCTTTTGCTTTGGCTGTACATTGAACAATCATCAGCCGGCACCCTGTGCTTTAGTCAAGAAATGGGTCAAGAAATGCGAGGACGATTCAGAGACTGCCAACTGGATATCAGCCAACACCAAAGAATGTCCAAACTGCAACTCAACCATTGAAAAGAATGGCGGTTGCAACCACATGACGTGCCGAAAGTGCCGCAACGAGTTTTGTTGGATGTGCATGGGCAAGTGGTCTGAGCATGGCACCAGTTGGTACAACTGTAACCGATTCGAGGAGAAGAGCGGTTCCGAGGCACGAGATGCGCAGGCCAAGTCTCGACAGTCACTCGAGCGATACCTCCACTACTACAACCGCTTTGCAAACCACGAGCAATCGGCGAAGCTGGACAAGGACCTTTACCTCAAGACTGAGAAGAAGATGCAACAACTTCAGAACTCTTCCGGCATGTCATGGATTGAGGTTCAATTCTTAGACCAAGCCTCGCAAGCATTGCAGCAATGCCGTCAGGTACTTAAGTGGACCTACGCATTCGCTTACTATCTTGCGCGAAACAATCTGACGGAAATCTTCGAGGATAACCAGAAAGATTTGGAGATGGCTGTTGAAAACCTCAGCGAGATGTTTGAGAAGCCAATCGACCAGTTGAAAGACTTGAAGGTCGATATCCTCGACAAGACTTCGTACTGCACGAAGCGTCGTATCATTCTGCTGAATGATACCGCCGAGAACCTTAAGCTTGGTAAGTGATATGATTTTGCGAGGTCTCTCGATTGTCATTGGACTGCTGCTAACCGACGTGTAGGCAACTGGAAGTTCAACGTGGACCTAGCGTAGAAGACTTGTATGAACAAAAGGATAATATCACACATGACGACACGATGGCCTCTCCCAATCAGTCCTTGGGCAATTAGCCCGTTGAATCCCAAAATGTATGCAGCATTCCTAGGTGTTATGTGCAAAGGAGGACACACACAGAGAGAGAAAGAGAGAGCAATAGGAAGCTGCCGCCCCGTGTCCACACGTAAGTCGACCGAGGAAATCGATTAGACTGGAAAAAGATAACATGTCTCTCGGGACATGGTGGATGTGTCCCTTACATAGGGATGTTTATGTTGCATAAACTCAACAGTTAACTGAGGGGCGCTTTTAAGGTATGGATGGCATCATCAATTTTATCCAGGCAGCATGGCGTTGTTTCCAAGTATCACGTGGTTCGGTTCAGCGGTTCAGCGAGCTAGGGCTTAGCATTTTGCGTGGTTTATTTTTTTTCTGTCTCTTCTTGTTGTTCCTTGTCTGGGCTTTTCTCTCTCTCTTCCTACTACACTGTGTGAAATAAAGTTTTACGTGAAATCAATGACAATAAGAATTACATACTATTTTCTTTGGGTGTGAGTCAAGGAAGAATGCTTTTGCTGAGAGTTGATGTGCAATGCAACGAGGTTGAATGTCCTCGACCCCTTGATATTTGCGTGTCTGCACGTGAATATCCAAACAACGGGGGGGGGGGCACAACTAGAGTAACAAGACTGATCACTACGATGACGATACAAGACTAAACGCTAAAAAAAAGAGTGCCAATGTCCAAAACAAAAATGATACTACCTCGACTCCTCGCATAAACTAATCTCGTGTGATAATAACGCGTGCCACCTACTTTCAATCTGTCGCAGCAGCAGCAGCAGCAGAAAAAAAAAGTTGTACAACAAGTGTACTAGCAATCAATCACCTTGGCAAGTCCCAACTTCCCCCCAACTCTTTTTCTCTCCCCTTCTCTCCCCTTTACCTACACACACACACACAAAAGTTAACAGTTAATTCCTTTCTCCTTCTCCAATCACATTTCTCGAGACTGACTAACTAAACATATTACTATGTACTTGATTACTTAGTACTTTCCTTAGACAACAGCCTTCGTACTCGATAAGCTCTATACTATGCTACCACTTTTTTTGTTTTTGTTTTTTTCCACCGCTACATAATCGAGTAAGTCGTCAAAGGAAAGAAGACTTTTTACAAGTCGTAGATGCTATAGGTTCAAGTTTTTGCAAGGAATTGTATGTGCATAGCGTGAGTTGGCCTTGGATTGAAGAGCGTCGGTGGTATTATGGGTCTAGATGAGGCGGTTTACTTTTAAATGACTTGGCAAGGGAGAACACTTATCGCACGCATTTTTCTAACTTTATTTTTTTGTTTTAAGGGGGGAGGGGAGAATATCGCTCAATCACTATATACTCTTTATTACAAATGCTTACTATACTCCTAGTGTTGAGGTATTTTGTACAAGGCCCGATAGCAAGGAACCAAGATTACCACTAAACGAGTTAGTTCCGGTGCATAGTCACGTGACCTACACACGCTAGGTCACAGGGGCTGGAAGACTGGAAGGCATCATCCAGGAGACAAATCACGTCAACAAGGGGGCAATATGGCAATCAAGTTTTCTTCAATGGTGATGATGAGATTCATGCTAGATATCTTGCTCCATCTCACTATGCGTTTCGTATCCGAATCCGTGTCCCAAGTAGCGTACAGCGCATCAAATTGTGCCTAATGAAATGAGAAACCATAATGCCCTATGCCAAAAAACCCGACGCCAGATCCTGAATCATTCCGTACCATATAACAGTAGACCACATAGGATCATTGTAATTAAACCGTTACCATTTAGTGGCTGGCGACACGCTCCTTGACCTTCTCGAACATGGCCTCCATCTCCTCGGCAATGAAGTCCTCAATCTCAGACTCGAGATGTTGGAGCTTGCTTCCGACCTGGTGGGCGTGGCGACCGGCGGACTCCTTGGCCTTCTCGAAGTCGGCCTTGATCTCAGAGAGGGAAGGGATGTCAGAGTCAGACTCGTCCTCCTTCTCGGCAACCTTCTTGACAGTGTAGCCGCCCTTCTCAACAATCTCGGAGTAGTTGGAGGAGCCACCACCGTTCCAGGCGAGGACGTTGGCAGTGTTGCTAGGCACGTCTGAGAGAGCACCGACGGTGGCGATGGCAATCAGGTTAGCCTTGAGCTTCTTGGGTGTGATATCGGCAACAGCGTAAGCTGAGTCCTTAGTAGGCTGGAGAGACAGCATGTAGGCCAGGAGACCAGCAATGTGAGGAGAAGCCATCGAGGTACCAGAGATGGTGTTGGTGGCGTGCTTGGAGCCGATCCATGTGGAAAGAATGTTGAGACCTGGGGCAAAGATGTCGTTGCACTTTCCGTAGTTGGAGAAGTAGGCACGCTCATCGTTGAGGGTGGAGGCACCGACAGTGACAGCATTCTCAGCTGCAGCAGGGGAGTAGTTGCAGGAGTCGGCGTTGTCGTTACCGGCGGCCACAGCGAAGTGGATACCAGCGTCGACAGCAGCGTTGACGGCCATGTCGAGGGTGGTGGACTTGCCACCTCCCAAGCTCATGTTGGCAGCGCTGCCCTTGAAGCCCTTCTTCTTGCCGTTCTTAGCGGCAGAGACGGCCTCAGAGTGAGCCTGAGCGGCGTACTCGACGCCCTTGACGACATCGGACATGGTGCCCGAGCCGTTGGAGCGGAGGACCTTGATGGCGTATACGTGAGCCTTCTTGGCAACACCGTACTTCTTGCCAGCAACGGTACCAGAGCAATGAGTGCCGTGGCCGTTGCCGTCCTCGTCGGCATCGCCGCGAGGAATCGTCTTTCCCCACTTGGCACGGCCCTCGAAGTCGACGTGCTCGACGTTTGTGCCGGTATCGATGACGTAAACGTCAACACCCTCACCACCGTCGGCAGCGTACAGGTACTTGTTGTAGGTGCCGAAGCTCAGGGCGTCGCGGTGCGAGATACGGGCAAGACCCCAGGGCGAGTTCTTCTCGATCTCAGGCTCATCGGAGCCGAGGACGTGGACCTCGGAGTCACGCTCGATGTAGTCAACCTGTCAGAGAGAGTTAGCGCCAAGTCTTATGCAGGTACATTGAGCACGGACGCTGTCACGTGCGAATCCGACGCATTGCACAAGTTGCCTTGGCCTACGCGCCACGCAGCCGATTCGAGGCCGGGGCTGCTGCCTGGGCCGAGAGAGGAGATGGAATGCCACTTACATCGGGGTGCTTTCGGATCTCCTCGATGGTCTCGTCATCAAAGTGACCAGAGTAGCCCTTCATGCCGGGCATCTCGTATGTGTGCTTGAGACCCTCAAAGACCTCGTTGGAGACGGGGAGCTCCGCGGAGCGCTTTCGCAGCTCCATGCGCTCCTGCGAGTTCTTGGAGTGGACGCTCTGGACCCAGTCATGGTGTTTGGAGGTATCCTTGACGTGCTTCTTGAAGACGACCATGTAGCTGTTGGGGACCTCCTTTGCGGAAGTCGACGACAGAACTGGCGCGGCATCCTTGTGGATGGTCTCTGCCGAGAAGGTGGGTGACGCGGCGGCCAGAGCCGGGAGCGCGAAGACCAGGCTGTATCTCATGATGGTGAATGTGCTCGCACAGCGAGATGGAGTGCAACTGGGGGATGAAGGGGGGATGGATGGGCCACAGGGCTCTACTGATGGACAGACTTGGGGAGAGAGAGGATGGGGGGAGGAGTGTGGAGGAGGGATGGGGGATGAGCTGGGGGTAGCTATGGCGATGCGCTCTCTTATCAGGACGGCCTCGGTGCATGGGCCGCCCGATACATGACGCACCTGACCTGGAGCTTGAGCACCGCCAGTGAGGCTGGGGCTGCGCTAGGCCCGGCTGGGACAGGATGCACGCGCTCGCGTATCAGCCTGGGGACGTGTCGTATCAAGACGGCTACGACGACGAGCTGGGCCGTGGTTGCTCGGGCAGCGCGCGTCCTCAGCACACACCGTCATCCTGCCTGGCTGCGTAACGCTGTGTACTTACTTAGTTGTTATGTTGACATGTGCAGAGTGAGGCGGTCTGACCTGGCAGCTCCAGCTTGGGCGTGGCTGCGGCTCCGTGAAGGGCAGTCAACGCGGCGGCGTGCTTACTAGGCCCAGCGTCGCAATCCTCGCTCTTACAGTAGTTGCTCTCAGGGTCCCGGTTGTCAGCAGAGCACCCCGCGAGCGACGGCGGCCATTCACCGTTCCCCGCCAGATTAAACCCGCAGTCCTAGTCTTATCCCAGGTTCGCATGAGGGTGTGGCAGCCAGACACTGCGCCATCGGCCAGTAGTGTGTCGTAGTGGTAGCATCCTGGGGCGCTCGTCTGTGTTGCCGCAACTTGAGTTGCATCCTCCACTCCCCCCCCCCGGCTCCACCTCGCGACGGCTGCCTGGGGTAGCTCGCACGTCGAGTCCAAGCTCCACCGTCTGTTTGAGCAACACCACCCGATCCTACGCGAAGCATCGGCCTATTCCGCCAACGCCAATTCCCAACATTCGACCTCGCAGCCAATCTGCCACGCCGCCGAAAGTGCGCACAGGGGGCCCGGGAGACATGACTGTACTTGCCGCCCCGCTATTCCCTCCGCCCACCAAGTTGCTTCCTAGCGGCCTCGACTGAACATGGCCACCACCCGGCCGCACAGGTCGTCGACGGCCGCCTCCAGACTCCCGCCCATGAACAATCAGATAGCCGAACTCCGCAGCCTTGCCGATGAACTTACGAGAGCCTCCGAGTCCACCCCACCGCCCCCGGACGTCCTCCATGCCCAGAGCAATGCCCTCCGCCGCATGCGCCAGCTGCTCATCGAGTCCAACAACCACACCCACACAAAGGATGCCTTTCGCCATGTCCGTGGCTTCGAGACGCTCCTCGTCACCCTCCGCTCTCTCTCCGGCTTCTACAAGCCCGCCGAGCTGTCCCCCACCGACCGCATCGACTTCTTCGAGGTCATCAAGGCCACCCTCGATGTCCTGTCCGACGCACTGAACGAGCATGCCGGTAACAGGCGATTCTTTGCAAAGCGAGTCGAGAATGGTGGCTGGAATGCCCTCGAGCAAGCCCTGGCCAGCACGGGTATCTTTGGCGGCCAGTCCCAGAGCAGACGTGACGATGCGGGGCAGGAGCAGCTTTTCGGCACCCTCTTCGCCTTTGCCCTGGGCGAAGAGACAATGACACGCATATTCAGAGACGTCGACAAGACGGTTGAAGGCCCCCAATCGGGCCAACAGGACCATGCTCCGCGAGTGGACGGCGGGGAGCTGCCCGCCGAGATTGTCATATCTAGCCCGCGGTCCATGTACAGTGACGTCGAAATAGATGTCGAGTCACTGCGCGCCCAGGTGCGCGCCATATTCAGCGGCAATGAAGTACTACAGAATCCAGACATCATGCCCACCATTTTCCATTTTTGGCAGGGTCTGTCTGGCGAGGATGCTCCAGGCACACACTCCAAGCCTCTCTCCGTATCGGTGCTCCTTGCCTTTCTCTACATAACTACCCTCTCTTCATACAATAAGGCTGCTCTGCATATTACAGGTGTCTTGAGCTTGATTCTGCCTCTTCTGTTCGAGAACAAGTGCGCGCCTGTAGAAGCTGGCCTGCTGCAAGACTTGGCTAACGACCTGGTGCAATATGGCATCAACAAGCTCGACGATGCTTACTACCTCTTCCGCAAGGCTGCATCCTCGGAACAAGCCGCCGAGTTCCTTTTGCGCGGCATGCGATCGTCTCGCGATCCGCCTTTTATACAATTCGACCTATCTCTGCATGGATTCAGCGCCGTCGAACTCCCAGACATTGGCCGACCCTTTCCGCCCGTCTCTCCCGGCGGTGGCTATACATTTGCTGCATGGGTGCGGGTGGACAAGTTTGATGCAAACTGCCACACTACTTTGTTTGGTGCCTATGATGACACACAGACCTGCTTCTTAATGGCTTACTTGGAGAGAGATAGCCGCTGCTTCATTTTGCAGACCTACATGGGCCACTCGACGGGTGTTATTCCTAGTGTAAGATTTAAAAAAGCCCCTCGATTTGAAGAGGGAAGATGGTACCACATTGCTGTTGTCCATCGAAGGGCCAAGGCTATTGGCATGGGTCCTGCCAAAGCATCCCTTTTCGTCGACGGTGAGTTTACAGAAACTATGAAAGCCCACTACCCATCGCATCCCCCAGTGCTAGACAGTAGCCAGGAAAGCTTTGCCTCCATGTCCTCGAGTATTCCAAAGCACCACATACTTGCGTTCCTAGGAACACCGCGGAATCTAGCGCCTCGATTGGGAAGAAATGTCATCGCTTCCAAGCTATCGGTCGCTTCTTTCCACCTCTTTTCAGAGCCCCTCTCGGATGAACTAATCGCTGTCTACCACAAGCTTGGCCCCCGTTATTGCGGCAACTTTCAAGACAAACTTGGGTCCTTCCAAACTTACAGAACCTCTGCAGAGCTTCACGTTCACAATGAGATACTTCACCCCGGCAAGGAAGAGCGATCAGACATTGTAGCGGCGATACGCGCTCCTGCAAGTCATCTCATACCAGAGTCAAAGATAATACTAAGCTTCTCCCCAAGCTCCGTCATGGACGACGATGACCGAAACTCGATTGATGAGTCCCAACTGATTCGGTCACTGTCGCGAGAGTCTGCCAAGACCCTTCATAAGTATACCCGAATGCATAGCACACCAATCATTGTCAATGCTGCTGTCCCATCGGTAAACGATGCACTGTCTCAGTCACGTGGATTTGGACGGTTGTCTGGTGACCCTGTTGTTGTCGTTCCCCAAGCCTTGGATGATGCCATTTGGCGAGTCGGTGGATGTGTTGCTGTTGGCTTGAAGCTGGTGCAATCCGCTCAAACTCTAGAAAGCATGCTCCGCGCCGTCAATATACTACTAGAAGCTGTCGGTGGCAACTGGCGCAATTGCGAGGCCATGGAGCAGCGCAATGGCTTTGCTGTTCTGGCCGAGGTCATACGCCAAAAGATTGGATTTACCATGGGTGGATTGGTCGGAAAGAATGCTTCGTCTCTTGATGTTACGCAGGAAGACTGCGAGGTGTTTGTTTTGCAGCTGCTGCGAGTCATCCTCCGCTTTGTTGGATATGATGAGCAGCGCCCGACCGAATCACTCATCATTAACCCTCTCGCATACAGAGTCCTTCTCGTTGACTTGGAAATCTGGCGCAGAGCCACCTCCTTGGAGACGCATAAGTTGTATTACACACAATTTATCCATTTTGCTCGCGGTAGCAAACATCACCACTACAATGCCAAACGCTTCCATAGAATTCGTACGTATGTTTGTGTAGTTGCATTCGTCTCCAGCTAATACTCTCAAGGTGTGGTCAAGCGCCTCACAGACGCTCTGAAAGGCGAACGGTTCACCCCACAAACCTTCAAACTGTTTCTCGATGCCTTTAAGACCCTCCTGTTGACCAACTTCAATGGAGAGAATGCGAGGTCACTTTCCCTTTTCGTCACCTACGCGCTGCATGACAGCCGTGCATCTTACGGTAAACGCCCATTGCGCCCAAAAGCGAGTGTAGGCCGTATCCGTAGAGGGACTACGCCTGGGTTAACGCCAGACGGTAAATCACGGTCGGCTAGCCCGGCTCAAGCTGGCAGCACCGATGGGCCGCCACTGTCTCTGCCAGACTTGGGCATCGCCATTCTCAATCTCTTGGCAGAGCTGCTTTGTGATCCACAGAACCCACACGAAGTATTACGTTTTGCCAAGAACGTTACGGGTAAATGGCTTCTTTACCTGCTTGCCGAACCTGAGCAGCGTGTTGTTGTGCTTGGTGCAAAGATCCTTGCTCGATTGCTTGTGCTGAACGGGACGCATTACGTCAAGAAGTTTGCAGACAAGACAGGCGGTTTCATTCTCATGAAGAACAGGCTACGCCATTGGTGGAACACACCAGGAATCTGGACAATCTGTTTTGCAATTTTATTTGGCCGCGATGTGGCAACTATAGACTTCGAGCGTGATTTCGATGTCTTCAACCTGGTCGATATATTCATTGCCCATTCACCTCAGTCTGAGCTTAGAATATGTTATCCAGAAGTCTTTCCTGTAATCACCGCGATGCTGGAGACTGGGTTGCGGGCGATTGTTCGCGACCGGGATCTGGCTCGAACGGATAGCAGCGCTCCTAAACAAGAGAACGGTGAGGGTACGGTCACTCGTGGTCGGCGCAGAACGATGTCGTTGAACGCCAAGCAGCCGGTCGTCGGTATGTATCTATTCGCAAGCAAAAAAAAAAGAGACTCAACTCAATGCTGACCATTCGTAGATATACGTGCGCCCCAGACAGACCGCTTGAACGATTTCGCTGTTGTTCTAAACTCCGCCATCCAGTTCTTATCCGAGCTGCATTCTCGGTCAGAAGGTTTCCGTGATTATGCGAACACATCCAACTATGTCCAGGAGTTGTTGTTCGTTCTATACCCGGTGATTGTGACGTCTGACAGCGTCAGTGCAGAGACTGAGCTACTTTCAAGAGGCTCAGCATTAACGTTTGAGGGACAGGATGTTGTCATACAGCCGCTGTCTAGAGCCAATAGACAGGGAGCGCCTGTGATTCGGACCACCAACGTCAGCACCTCACCTGCACCTACGTCTCGACGCGTCCTACCTCTCCGCAAGGCATCCTCTTTCGTGCTTGTGTCAGCAGATAAGAAGCAAACAACTCAACAGCCATCTCTTAACCCGATTCTCTCGTCAAAAACCGTACCTCCCGTGCCCCTCAAGGTGGGCAGCTCTGTGGTCGAGGCTATGCTGGAAGTTATTCTTGATGTGTTCAAAGATCAGATATTTACACGGAAAGATTTTCCTGGTCTGGGGCTATTCTTAAAGACACCACCAGGCTTCCAAGAACACCAAGCATACTTCGAATCGTATATTCTACGGCAGACTTTGATGTCCGTAAGGAATGCATTTCAGCTGGATCAGAAGCTTTTGCATGAGCCGCGAGTTCTTACAAACCTCTCGCGATTTGTCCAGCACATATCTGAAGCTGTCTTCGAAGGATGGTTCCTTGAAGGTGCAGAGCCATTGCTCGACTTCGCTGGGTTTCTGCTCGAGTATCTGGAGCGCCCGGACATTGCAGCTATCAAATCCGTCAGACTTTGTACCCAAGCAATTCAGTCAATTCGAACCACCTTCTTGAAAGTCGCTCTCCTTCGGTTGGCAGATCCAGATGAGTCTGAAGGTGGCGCAACTACTACGGCAGTAATCGAGAAGATGGTATATTGGCAGCCCATTATTCTCTCATCTGCCAACAATGAAACCTTCTCATTGAAGATGATTTGCTACCTGCTCTACTCGCAACTGTCATCAGAGCACATGACTGTACGCATTGCAGCGGCGAGCTTCTGGCGATTGCTCATGGTCCAAAAGCCCCATGAAACGTCCATGATTCTAGCCGACGCCATTCATGGAGACACCAAGGACCTGTATGATGGTTTCCAGAAGCTTGTTGAACTCGACAATGAGACCTTCCTCGAATGGCTTGACCTAAACAAAACTGACATGGATAGGTTTTTCTACGGTTCGATGACTCGGCCGTGGGAGGATTATGTTCATAGCCAGAACAAGAAGACTGAAGAATCGTCACAGAGGCGTATCGCGAAGCGCAAAGAGAAATTGAAGCAATGGCAGGCTGACGAGCTTGTGGCTGAAAGCGTGTGGAACCACCACGAGAACTCAACTAACCACTGGCGATCGAACATTCATGCTTCTGAACGTATCAAGCACCAGCGTGTTTTGCAAGATCAGCAAGATAATGCTACTTTCATGACAACAGTCCTGGCAAAATTAGACCACCAGCTCAAAGGCCCATGTGGTCTTTTTGAGAACAGTCCACCTGCTAGATGGCGGCTCGATGAAACTGAAGGCCGTGATCGAAAGCGTCTGCGCATCATTATCGACAACACCAGCCGCGAACAGACCTTTCAGCCCAAGCGCAAAGATACCGATTCGCGAGAGAAACTCAAACTGGAAACTGTTGTGCCTGCCATAACAGCTAAAGAAGCCGTGGGAGCCACACCCGTTGATGGCCGATCAGTGAGATCATTATCCACAGCGACTGCATCAGGTGACCCCATAGAGGAAGCAGAATCAGCTAGCGACGATGACTTTGAAATGGTTGAAGCCATGTATGAGGACGAGGATGGTTTCGAGGATAAGAATCGCAAAGTTATGCGTAGCCTTAATCGTGGTGATCAGGTCCAGTACGTCTGCAATATTTCACGGGTAGTGGGCCTTGAAGCTATAGAAGGTCTTCTCATCGTAGGAAAGGATTGTCTCTATCTTCTAGATGACTTCTTCCAAAGATCTGACGGCGAAATCGTGCGTGTATGGCAGGCACCGCCCGATGAGCGCGACCCATATGTGCAGGTCATTGCTGGCAAAGAAGCTGTGACCAATCGTCGCCCACCGCCTAGAAGTCAAGAAGAGGCAGTGAGGAATTGGAAATGGACTGAAGTGATCAGCATCTCGAAGCGGCGCTTCCTACACAGAGACGTGGGCATCGAAATCTTCTTTGATGATGGACGCAGCTACCTCCTAACAGCCATTTCTGCACAAGCTCGCAACGACATACATTCCCGTGTCCTTCAACGAGCATCACATGTTGCAAACCCAGACAAGCTTGCGAACACAGAGATTTCATGGCGCCTCGATTCCTTGCGTAACCCTGAAGAAGCGCCCCAGACGCTTGGATCACGCTTTGTGTCTGCTTTTGGTTCGGGTTCGTCACATCCAGCAACGAAGAAGTGGTTGAAAGGCGAGATGTCCAATTTCCATTATCTCATGTTTGTTAATACGCTTGCTGGAAGGACCTTCAACGATCTCACCCAATACCCTGTTTTTCCCTGGGTGCTTTCGAACTATCACAGTGACGAGCTGGATTTGAGCGATCCGAGCAACTTTCGTGATCTGCGGAAGCCTATTGGTATTCAAGATCCCAAACAGGAACATCTGATCAGGGAGAGGTTCGCTTCCTTCGCCGAGATGGGTGACGCCAATCACGCCTTCCATTATGGCACCCACTATTCTTCTGCCATGACTGTAGCATCCTATCTTATGCGCCTTCAGCCGTTTAGCGCAGCGTTCTTCCTGATCCAAGGCGGCACATGGGATCACGCTGATCGCATGTTCTACTCGATCCAGAACGTATGGGAGTCGGTATCAGCCAAGAACATGGCTGATGTGCGCGAGCTTACGCCCGAGTTCTATTTCCTGCCAGACTTCCTGACAAATGTCAACGGATACAACTTCGGTCTGCGTTCCGACGGCTCCACCATCGACAACGTCAAATTGCCTCCGTGGGCCAAGGGCGATCCTGCAATCTTCATTGCGAAACAGCGTGAGGCATTGGAGAGTCCATACGTCAGCCAGAATTTACACCACTGGATCGATTTGATCTTCGGATACAAACAACGGGGAGAGGCGGCTATTGAAGCTGCCAATGTGTTCCATTACATGACTTACCAGGGTGCAATCGACCTTGACTCTATAACTGATGAGAAGGAGCGAGCGCAAAAGATCAGTGTTATCAACAATTTTGGTCAGACGCCTCCACAGGTCTTCCAGAGGCCACATCCCCAGAAGGACAATGTCACCAGACCCACCAGGCTCGATACCTCGGCAGAGAGTTTGCATCGCGTACCAGGCACGCTACTCGAAGCTCATGATCGCATTTCATCTCTAAACTACACCAGCAAGAGTGATAAGCTTCTGTGTGCCGCACCGTTCCGCCAAAATATCCCCCCTAACCATGATCGGTATATGGAGTGGGGCTTCACGGATGGTAGCGTTCGTTTCTACGAGTCGCACTCCAAGAAGCTGGTTGGGCTGTTTGAACATTTACACTCTGGACAATTGACAACTTCGCATTTCGTTGATGGCCGGACGTTGATCACAGCGGGAACAGATTGTACCCTCGCCATATGGACTGTTAACAAAGGCGAGCGAGGCCGTACCGAGCTCCAGAACGCCACTACACTCTTCGGCCACAAATCGCCAGTTGTGACGCTTGCTGCTAGTCGTGCATTCTCCGCATTCCTGTCTGCTTCGCTTGATGGGCGTGTGTTCCTTTGGGACCTTAATCGCAACGAGTTCGTACGAGAGCTTGCCCTAGGCGCAGAGCACAAGCGAGATCCTGTGCCAGTTCAAGCAGCCAGGATCAACAGTGTCACAGGCAACATTGTACTCGCCTGTGGAAACCGGCTTATTGTCGCCACACTCAACGGTGCCATATTGCTTAACGAAGACATTTGCGACAGTGAAGATGAGGGAGACTACATTACAACTGTAGCAGTCTACGAAGGGGTGGGCAACGAATGGTGTGAACGTGAACTTATCTTCACGGGGCATCGAAGAGGAATAGTAAAGGTTTGTATAACTCTTCTTTTACATCCCCCGATCGCACACTGTACATTTACTGACTTGTGACAGATTTTCCACCTAACGCCAACACCTTCGACTTTGCCATCCTCGACCCCGACAACCGCTAAATGGTCTGCGAACCTGATCAATGTCCTGAACCACGGCGATCCTGTGATGCTGGCTTCAACAGCACCCATCACATGCATACTGCCTATGCCTCATCACGTCTACACGGGTGATGAGGATGGTAGAGTGGTACGTAGTCATTTCAACTTTATTCGCTGGGTTCGTGCTAACCTATTGGTGCAGTACGAATGGGACTGCGTGCATCGCCAACATTGAGAACCTGGACATGAATATATCAGTTGCAACCGAGACGATCTGAGGTGGGTTTGGCGCCTGGATTGGGAGTGAGATGTGCATCAGCTTTATAATCGCTTCATTTTCATGAAGCCTTCCTCCTCCAGTTTTTTGGTCTCTGAATTCAAGTAGAAACTCGACATGATGTGCAAAAGCAAGTAGCTGAAAAGATCCTTTCTTCGCGAAGCGTTGGTCATTTTCTCAATACAGACATCTTGTTTTCAATATCGTTTGTTTCCCAGAGGATTAGAGGAGCCAGGAGTCGTGTTGTGTATACAAACAGCCTTGAGCAGTCCAAGCTCGCCATGGCCAGCCTAGCAACTGTGCAGTCACACTGCATGAAATAGTCAGCGATGCAAATATAAGGTTCTCAAATGTGGCGTCGCCGCCTGCATACGAGATTGGTCATGCAAGTTGGTCTAGATAACTCGTTACGTGGTAAAACACCCAGAGGCATCGCGTGACCAAACAGCAGGATACTGGTGGTCGAGCACTAGACTTGGATCGCGAATCAGGATAATGGCTTGTAAGGCGTAGGCTAGGATCGAGGACGGTGTCGATTCCCTCCAAGTGGCTAGCTGGTGTGTCTACGCATTGAGCGCCATGTCCCAACACAGCATGACGGCACCGCCAAGCCCCATACTCTGAGCCAATCCGCGCCCTCCAGCACGTCATATTTTGCCTTAAGTCTGGGCCGTGTCCCGCTTGTCGCCCTCTGCAACCCCCAGCTTCACAGAGGATGCGACAATCCGAGCGACAAACCGAATGCATAAATGGACACGCCGGAAGTAACCGCCCCGTCTGCGAACGCGACGAATAAGAAGCGTAGACGACCGATTAATGGTAGGTACTATGGACTCTGCCGCCTTCTAATACTGCGGTACCTGAGCTAACGGCGCTCGGATAGCCTGTACTACTTGTCGCGCGAGAAAGGTAGGCGTTCGCGTTCCGTTGCTTTTATCCTTATTGTTTCCTTTTAGCTAGTTTGCATCGTGGCGGAGTTTACGGCGATATGCATGGAAAGCATGAGAGTAACCACTATGCAGTTGCGTGTGTGTAGTGGTATGACCCAAACATCTCATCCTAGCACTATCAAAAAAACCCCCAAAAGAGTGAATTAACTTCTACACGCCAACATATCTAACAGTTCCACAGGTCAAGTGCGATGAGCGACCAAACGGCTGTCTGAACTGCGAGAGGCTTCAGCTAGACTGTGTCCAAAATGGCGGTGTATCGGCAGCAGTAAAAAGATCAAACCCAGGCTACGAGCCAGTAGTCGGAATCAAGAGGAAACGGACCTTCCGGTCTTGTATTCCCTGCAGAGATTCAAAGGTCAAATGCTCTGGCGAACGACCGACCTGCACAAGGTGCCAACAACGCCGGACAACTTGTATCTACGATGCGGAGCACAACGAGCCAGCTTGGGTGCAGAGTATCAGCACTCCTGCACTAAGTACACAGGAAAACTTAGTAATGATATCTCCTCATGGCCCACAGCCTTCTCCGGTTAGCCTTGAAATGCTTGGTTCAGTTTTGGGAAATGATACTGCTGTACCTGGGTGCCCGCCCGGGCTGTTGTGGTGAGTTTGAATACCATCAATTGGAATTACATTGTACTGAAAGAAGCAAAAAGGTTATTCACAAAGCAACTACCGCCTAAGAACAAACTTCATGCTTTGCTAGACGCGTATTTCAATAATGTTCACCCTATCCGAGTCTTCGCGTTCGAGCATAAGCCGTCGTTCATTCGGATGTTGGACGAGGGCCAGCTGGTAGACTCATCTGATCAGGCGCTCCTACACATAATGTGTGCATTGGGTGCTCGGTTCTATGCCCTAGACTATCATGAGTCGTACTCGCCCTTGACCAAAGATTTGATACAGTCGGCTGGAACCCAGTGGGCCAAGATCGCTGAAGAGATGTTCTTTGCTGACTACAGTACCATCTCAATTACCAAACTCAAAGTTTTGGTCCTCCTCCACGATCATGAAGCAAGGACGGGTAACTATGCTGGCTCCTTTCTTCTTACCGGTCTAGTGATACGTATGGCGCATGCTTTGCAATTGAACAACGAGATATCGCCAGATGTGCTTTGCAAAGAAGTCGGGGGAAGCCCGAACGAGGTATCTGTCAGGGAGTCTCGGAGACGGCTAATGTGGGCATGTTATATGATCGACGTCTGGGCTGGCAGCGGCGTCGACCATCTCACTATACTCAATGAAAAAGACCTCAAGATCCAGCTTCCTTGCAACGAGCGACAGTTCTCACTACAGATACCATGTATTACAGAACGGCTCGAGAAAGGCACATTGCTGGATTTCCTCGCCAAGGAAGATATTCCAGAGAAACCAAGCGACAATTTGGGTATGGCAGCATACTATGTGCGTATTGTTAGTATATGGCGAAGAGTGCTACGGTAAGTCACAGCACGTGTGACTTCTTGCCAATATCAGTGCTAATTTTGCATAGCTTTGTAAAGCACATGGAAGAGGAGCAACCACCTTGGCTCCCAGGCTCAGGCTTCGCAATATTGATCCAAGATATACATCTATGGAGACAGAGCCTGCCTTCTTGGCTAGACTTTTCGGCAGACAACATCTACATCCGACGAGAAACCCACCAGCTAGGTGCTCTCCTTCTTATTCATTGCATGTACCACCACGTCATGTGCGACGTGCATCGAATCGCTCTCCCTGACCTTTTCAAGAACCAGGAACCATTTGTCTTTCCCCCAGACCAGCAGGCATTTGTGGGCCATCTACAGGATGTCTGCTTCGAACATGCACAGCGCATGTCAGTGCTGGCCTCACATATCCTTCAGCATGGGGTTAAGCACTTTGCGGATTCGATCTTGCCTTCATTCGTGTATAACAGCAACAGGATCATGCTTTACTACATTGCTAGGATCTTGGATGTATCCAAACCCGACACTGGAACTGTGATTGCACGTACTGTCGAGTTAGTACAGCATAACAACCGGGCGCTGAGAGACATGTCACTTATTTATCCCCTCGCCGAGTCCTTGTGTATCACTTCGGAGCAGTGGCTAGAGACTGTGCGTGACAGTCTTGCTCGTGGACATTCGGCCGACTACATTGCACCTCAAGATTCGTCTGAAAACGAAGCACGCCGTATCGTTGGAGCCCCCGCGCCGACAGAAGGCACGCCACGGCAACGAAATACTGCTGTCTCCATGATACCCCGTGTAGAAGAGATATTATCAGCAATTTCGCCGTCAACTCTTCGGACCGCCACTACTCGCTACCCATTTACAGCACTTGCTCCAGGCGAGCAATCGTCTACAGCAAGCCATGGCATGAACTCGCAACCAGAGCACCGGATTGATCCAATATACTCGTCCCCCAGTGCGCCTAATTCGCTTGAGCAGCCCATGTTCAATCTTGATGACCTGCAAAATTTCTTTGGATGGGAGGCGAGTGACGATGAGAATGTTCAGACGACGGGCTTCGAGGCATTTGGGCCCTTGGGATGGACGAACAATTTCTCCATAATGTGAAGAGGTGGAATGTAATTGCATGCAAGCCTGATATGTTCTTTCTGAGTAGTCGTGTGAGGCTACCCAGTATCAAGTAGTTCACAGTGGTACTGCTTTTACCTTTGATTCATAAGTTTGACCACTGCGTTATTTCTATAGAGTTCTCAAACATGAACAAATAATACAAGATCCAATAACCGGTCGATTGGTACAAGTGATGTATTTATGGTGAAACTGAAGGAAGGAAATAAACCTTAAAAGCCGCAGTTTCCTGCAAAGTGTCCAAAGTGAATACCAGATACGGTCCAGACTTTGTAGGTGAAACCTCCGTTGCGCATGTGGTAAGGCTAGCAAGCCTCCCCTGTACTTAGCGGAAATCTCCGGCACTAGTAAAGCAACCCTGACCAACGGTCGATTCCACTTTCCCCCTCGAATCGCTCTCCATGAAGCTGCGATTTCGCGAGGATACCACTTTCACGACGTTACGACCTATTGACGAATATTTTGCAAACCCCACTCTCTTTCTTGTCTTCTTGAACTGCTAGAACCCCGTCTGTTCAGTCTAGATTGGCTCAATATTGTCTGCGATAGCACAGAGACTCGTCGATTCGCCTCCGCTCTCACACGTCAAAGTTCACTGCATCTGCAAGTTCGACCACAAATCCTGCCAAGTTCGTACTTTAGAAGAGAGCTACATAAAGCCTTTGTTTGTTCGCAATGCCCGAGACAACAAAGGTAGTGCCCCTCACCTGCCATGGTCACTCAAGACCTGTCCCCCACATCCACTTCTCGTCTCTCTTGGACGAAGACCAATACTACATTATATCAGCATGCAAGGACAATAATCCCATGCTCCGAGATGGTATAACAGGTGACTGGATTGGCACTTTTCTGGGCCACAAGGGCGCAGTCTGGCAAGCGCGACTGTCTTCAAACGCCTCGCTGGCAGCCACAGCTTCAGCAGATTTCTCTGCGTATGCATTCTCCTCTATTATCCTGTGACGTTACTAACGGTTCACAGGAAAGTCTGGGACACCCATACTGGCGAAGCGCTACACACCCTCGCCCACAATCACATTGTCCGTGCGGTCGCGTTCCCCAATCAACCTCACCCTCAGATCCTTGCGACCGGTGGAATGGAAAAGAAGCTGCGGATATACGACCTGTCACGCAGCGACGCGACAAGCTTCGAGATTGGCGCTGGCGTTCATACAGGGACCATCAAGTCGATAGTGTGGACGTCGGACCCTAACGTCATAATTACAGCATCGGAGGACAAGAAGATCCGGTGGTGGGATCTGCGACAGGAGTCGACCATTGGAGAGCACGCGGTAGAGGGTACTGTGGGTTCATGCGAGTTGGATAACACCTCCTCGGATGGAATATTGAGCGTAGCTGCTGGAAACAGCGCCTACTTTTTCAACAGTCAACTGCCGGGCTTGCTCATTAAGAGCGTCAAGACACCATACGAACTCGCCAGTGTAGCACTGCACAACGGAGAGAGGAAGTTCGTTACTGGTGGTAGCAACCAGAATGACACGTGGGTCAGAGTGTGGGACTTTGATGAGGAGAAGGAGTTGGAGACGAACAAGGGACACCATGGGCCTATTTGGTCGGCGAGCTTCTCGCCCGATGGAAAGCTCTATGCGACGGGCAGTGAGGACGGAACGGTCAAGCTCTGGAAGTTCACGACGGGACCGTATGGTCTGTGGAAGTAGATATTAAGTCTACTACGGCTTGGGCTGCTCGTTGTGCCGTGTATATTGTCAATGACGACAGTTAGTCGGAAAGGCTCAGTTTATATACCACCTGAAAGCTAGTAAATGCGATGAAGCAGAATCAAACATATACAAAGCGAAGTACCACAACAATTCACTCAGTCGCAGTGGAAACCCGATCCAAAGATCAATACCACATATATACAAGCAATGTTTGTCTTTTTACCTAGCAAGTAATAGTCAAGGAACGTCGGGAACGGCTAAACACCCCCTCCCAACCACGGCAACTCTAACCGGAGATACCCGATTCAACATTGCCGAAAAACAAAAAAGGATCGACACCAATGGCGGGACCCGCATGGATGCGTCCCCCCCGCCCATTGATTGTGCAAACATCTCAACATGGCAACTCGCCCCAGATAAGATAGTGAGATATGACGATAACCCACGAATCCTACCTATTCATGCCAAGAAAAATTAGAGATAGACACGCCTTCCTCTTTCTCCGACCCGGGTTATCGGCCGAGTTTCAGTGTTAAGTGTGGGTATATATACATATATAAAGTGAGTTGGGAAAAGGTTGGGGGTTTTTTGGTTTTTTGTTTCTTTTTCTTTTCTAGGACTGGGACTTTAGCTACATACTTACTACTTACTTACGTCTTACGTAGCACCTGAGGTTGACGTCGGGTTGTTGTTGTTGTTGTTGCATTGAGCATTTCTTCTAGCTGCTCCGCCTTCTTTCTCTCTTTCTTTCTCTCTCTCTCTCTCTGTCTCTCTGTCTCTCTCTCGGCCCCGCACCCGCACCCGGCCCTCCCCCCAAGGAGCCTTGGGGGTTTTCTAGTTGAAGCGGAAAAAAAATGGGGGAAAAGAAAGAAGACGACGACGTAGCGCGTGTGCGCGAGCCCAGCGTGGAACGAGGGGATGTTAGTGCGGCGAAGCAGATGCAAGATATCGGTGCGGATTTGTATCTTCAAGTTCAGCGGTATTCGCGGGAGGAGTTGGAGGCGGAGAGGAAGGTTGTGCTAAGGAAGATTGATTGGGTTATTATGCCCATGGTACGTTTTTCCTCCCCCCTCCCCCTCCCCTTTCTTTTTTTTCTCGTTGGGGGTTGAACAGGAATTGTGTGAAAGAGAAGAAAAGAATATAAAAAAACTGATGGAGAAAGGTAGATTTGCATGACATATATGATTCAATTCCTTGACAAACTCAGTCTCAACTATGCAAACGCCTACACGCTAACTCCGGACCTCGACCTCCATGGTAACCGCTACAGCTGGGTCGCTGCGATTTTCAACTTTGGATACTTGTTCTGGGCGCTGCCTGCAAATTATCTGATTCAGCGTCTTCCCGTCTCGAAATACACGGGGTCCATGATCTTGGTTTGGTCGTTACTGCTGTGCTGTCATGTTGCGGCAAAAAACTACGCAGGGATGCTCGCCTTACGCTTCCTGCTGGGAATGTTCGAAGCGTCGATTAGCCCCGCGATTATGAATATAGTGAGTATGTTTTACACGCGCGCCGAGCAACCGCTTCGCATGTGTGTTTTTCTGGCTTTCAACGGTATAGCGACCATGGTTGGCGCCTTACTCGGGTACGGTCTGGGACACGCGCACTCCCCGCATATCAAGACGTGGCAGCTTATTTTCTTGGTGATTGGGCTGATGAATTTCGTCTGGTCGTTTGTTTTTCTGGCGGTTATGCCGGATAGTCCTGCCACGGCCAAGTTCTTGACGCATAAGGAGAGGATTGTGGCGATTGATCGCGTGGCGGGGAATATGATTGGGGTTAAGACGAAGAAGTTTCACATGAAGCAGGCAGTAGAGGCGGTGCTTGATTTCAAGGTGCTGTGTATTGCGTTGATTGGGTTGGGGTGCGGTGTTATTAATGGGGGTGTGTCGAATTTCTCGTCGTCGCTCCTGAAGGGGTTTGGGTTCAGTGGCATTTATGCCACTTTGCTGCAACTTCCCACTGGCGCCATCGAGTTCGTTATCGTGCCGCTGTGCGGACTGGCGGCGGGATATTTCAGGAATACGCGATGTCTTATCCTGGCTATTGTTTGTCTGCCGCCGCTGGGAGGACTTCTGGGGATTCGACTTACGCCGCTGTCTCAGCGATGGAGCCTCGTCGGATGCACGTGGTTGCAGTACCTTATTGGTGCTCCCGTCATTCTATCGTGGAATCTTCTCACGACGAATATCGCGGGTCACACGAAGCGCAGCACGGCCAACGGAATGTGGTTTGTGTTTTACGCCGCGGGGAATATCGCCGGAGCGAACCTCTTCCTTGCACGGGAGGCACCGAGGTATTTTTCAGCCCTTACGGGTCTGATTGTGTGTTATTGCGCCATGATACTTGTGGCGGGCGTACTGGCCGCGTGGATGACATGGCAGAACAAGAAGAAGGATCGCCTGTGGGGGACTGGCGAGGATGAACAGGCGGTTATAGATGGGTTCAGTGACTTGACGGATATCCAGGCGAAGCATTTTAGGTATGCTATTTAGATGCGTGGTTGAGAGAGCATGGGCGATAGGTCCTGAGGGACTTGGAGTGAATCATGACGTATACGGGAGTGACGAGGAAATATATACCCTATCTATAGCATAGAAAGATTATCTACGTATCCGCAACATGAAGTGCATCCAGTTCCCGTACCAACTCCTCCTCGCTGCCAGGCACGAATCCAATTCCCTCACACCCTCCCCGCTCATCAAACTCAACTCCAAGTATCTCCCCTGCCACCCACTGCGCAGTCCTCGCATGCAAACTCGGCCTTACAAGCTCATCTTTCCTCTTCCCTCCATATACTTCACTCTTCCCCTGCGCAAGTGCCTGATAAACAACCAATTGATCGCGTAGATACTCGTCTACACAGCCGCCATGTTCGATCTCCGATAGCAAATTATCCGACACCGTTTTCACAATACCGGCAACGACTTGTTGCGGCTGTTGACCTGCTCGCACGCCCCGATCGTACAGCCAGTCGCGACCTAGCTTCATGCCGGTAGATGTGGTGGCTACCAAGAGGAGGTAGTATCTCTTTTCATGGTGCGAGTCTTCGAATGTGATTTGTACATCCACTTCATTGCTGGTGGAGAAGCGGGATTGGCGACGCTCGAACATTACGTTTAGTTCTTCGCGGAAGTGACGTTCGGTGGCCTTGGGGGCGATGATGGTGGCTGTTACTCGCTCCACTTCGCCTCTGTTTACTAGTTGGAAAGATGAAAGTGTGCTGGTCAAGGGGGTGATCGTGTATGTGACGCTCCCGAGACTAGTCGTGCCTTGAGACCAGCCTCGCGAGTGCAGGTTAGTAGTGATGTGTGGTATACCGATGAGCTCAAGTGTTGGTAGCAGGACTTGTGTTATATAGTCACATGATGGCGAGTTGGATACGTTTGTTCCTCCTATTATTTGAACACGTAGTGGTGAGGATGCCCCCGAGAAGAGGAGATACGGGAGTATGGCTTGTAGAACGAGGTTGACACTTCCGGGTGTAGACTGTCTAATGCGAACTTCTCCTGCAGAAAGAATTGTGCCTATTCCGCCAGTGGTATTTGGAGAAAATGTAATTTCCTTGCTCTTTAGTTCTGCGCCCGTAACGTGCGCGTTGGAGGCCTCACCGAGCCATTGGACGCTGGTCAAGTGTTGAGCCTTGAGACCACCGCCACCTGAACGTCTTGCACGAATGTTATTGATACTGATTGGCTTCTTGGTGAGGGCAGAGAGACCAAGGGCGATACGGACTAATTGACCTCCGCCTTCGAGAGTCGCTCCGTGCAGCTGAATTGCTGATGGGGATCCAGGAGTTGAAGCCATCGTGAGATATGAAATGAGATGGTTGTTCTTGGAGGATAATGAGAAAAACCGCAAGAATGTTAATTGTCTTCTTGAAATAGAGAAGCTGCTCATGTCTTGTACACGGCGGGCCTTGCGCCTCTTGCTTGCATGAGTGAAGATGAGTCAACCCGCACGGCGACCATGATTGTGGCTATGTGTGAATCAGTTACCAACGGTCTACACAGCGCAGCTTAGTCGCTATTTGTGTCTTATTCATATTCATCATATACACATCTGTATCTGAAGGAAATAAAGGTGTTTGTCTGTTGTCGGTAATCAAATGTAGTAGCCGCGGCACGTGTCGGCGCAAGATCGACGCGGCGGTCCTGTCGTCATCAGCGACGCCGAACTTTTGATCAGCGTCTCCGAAGTCGTCCCCTCCCACGCCAGCCCATCCACCACCATGACGAATGCCTTGACATCGCTTCAATCCGCCCTCAGAACCCGGTAGTCGTCTCGTCTACCTGTCTCAAGCCATGCGCGGCCCGCTGGCTTTCTCCGCAAAAGCCTGGCATGGGCCCGGCAACGGAGCTCTCTTCTCACAAATACAGTCGCGCATCTCGACGGTCAAGCCGATATCATCGAGATCAATCGTTACGAAGCCGACACCCAATTCCTCGGTCGCGAGGGGTGCGCCGAATCTGACCTGCCATCTCGCACCTTCCCTGGCTCGATTCGCAACTGCGGGGACTATCCGCCACAATGGCCTACAACACCCAATCCGACTATTCAATGCGTCCCGACATGTATCCGAAGCATCGGGAAATGACAAAATCATAAAACAACGTAAATCTTACAAGGACGAAATTAAAGAAAAAGGCATTGTGGATCTCGAAGAACACGACGGCGAAGCAGAGGCGGAGCAGGGCTTTGCAAAGTCCGAAAAGGCAGCTCAAGCCAAGCAGGTCAATCTTAGTGCGAAACTCAGCAAGGATGGCTCTGGATCTGGAGGTACACCCGGCGGCATGAAGGAAATCTGGCGGCTCATCAGCATTGCACGGCCTGAATTAGGCTCCCTCTCCTGGGCATTCATATTCTTACTCGTCGGGTCCGGCATCTCATTATCGGTACCCTTCTCTATTGGAAAAATCCTGGACGCTGCGACTTCGACAGAAAACACCGATGGCTTACTCTTTGGAATGACCCCTTCGCTATTCTACTTTGCACTCGCTGGCGTCTTGACCACCGGTGCTGCATTCAACTTTGGTCGTATCATCATTCTGCGAATTGTCGGAGAGCGCATCGTCGCCCGTCTGCGATCACAGCTTTACCGCAAGACATTTATCCAGAATGCCGAATTCTTCGATGCGAACAGGGTTGGAGATCTCATCTCTCGCCTTGGTTCAGACACTATCATTGTTGGAAAGAGCATCACACAGAACTTGTCCGATGGTCTGCGTGCACTCGTCAGCGGTGCAGCTGGTTTCGCCATGATGGGTTTTGTCAGTCTTAAGCTTACCGGTATTCTTGCTTTGATCGCTCCTCCAGTTGCCCTTGTCGCATTCTTCAGTGGTAGATCTCTACGAAATCTCAGTCGAAAAATTCAGAAGAATTTAGGTACTCTGACCAAGATTGCCGAGGAAAGGTTAGGCAACGTCAGGACTAGCCAAGCGTTTGCTGGCGAAGTCCAGGAAGCATCCCGCTACAACCGTCAGATCAAGAGAATATTCGCCCTGGGAAAGAAGGAGGCTGTTGTTGCTGCAAGCTTTTACGGAAGTACAGGTCTTATGGGCAACTTGACCATCATTACTATCCTCTACGTTGGCAGCAATATGGTCAAGAACGGCGTCATTTCGATTGGTGAACTCTCGTCATTCCTCATGTACACCGTGTATGCTGGTTCCAGTATGGTCGGTCTATCTGGTTTCTACGGCGAAATGATGAAGGGTGTCGGCGCTGCCAGTCGTCTGTTTGAGCTTCAAGATCGCAACCCGACAATCTCACCAACCAAGGGTCTACCTGTCAGGTCCGCACGTGGTCCTATCGAATTCAAGAACGTATCATTCAGCTACCCCACCCGGCCAGCGGTCTCCATTTTCAAGGACCTGAGCTTTAAGATTGAACAGGGCACCAACGTGGCCATTGTCGCGCCTAGCGGTGCTGGAAAGTCGACTGTTGCTAGCCTGATTTTGCGCTTCTATGTCCCAACCTCGGGTGTCATTACCATTGATGGAAGAGACATTACTACTTTGAACGCGAAACAACTACGGAGAAAGATTGGCTACGTCGGACAAGAGCCTGTTCTCTTCTCTGGAACCATTGCTGAGAACATTGCCTATGGTGTGCCCAATGCCACCCGTGCTGAGATTATTGCAGCGGCACGAAAGGCCAACTGCCAGTTCATCAGTGATTTCGTAAGTACAGAATCCTATTCTTTCTAGATCTTTCGCTGACTAGCATAGCCCGATGGCCTTGAAACACATGTCGGCGCCCGAGGCACACAGCTTTCGGGAGGCCAGAAACAGCGCATTGCCATTGCACGGGCTTTGATCAAGAAGCCCGACATTCTGATCCTCGACGAAGCAACAAGTGCCCTGGACGCCGAGTCAGAGACGCTTGTCAACCAGGCACTGAACAAGCTTCTCCAAGAGAACAACACAACCATCAGCATTGCTCATCGTCTCTCTACTATCAAGCGTTCCGATCGTATTATCTGCATTGATTCGGATGGCAGGGTCGCCGAAGAGGGCACTTATGAGCAGCTTAGCTCCAACCCTGAGGGTGCATTCAACAAGCTTATGGAATGGCAAATGAGCGGTGGTGACGTTCCTACCCGAGAGGTCAAGAATTCAAAGCCAACTGAAGAGGAGGAGATTGAACGGGAGCTTGAGGAAGAAAAAGACGAGGCTGTGGCACCCAGAAATGAGTAGACGGATTGCCATGTTTCAGGCTCATACTGGAAGAGTGACGCTGGTGGCGGGGAGGCTTCTTCGGCGTTTTCATGAAGCAAGCAGGAGGTTTCCTGTAAACTTGTCTCAAAAGACTCTAAGCAGTAGCTGGGCCCACCAGCCATACTGGGCCTCAACGCCAGTACTAGTCTCGAGGTTTCGAGACTTGATGTGTAGGAATATAACTTAGGCATGAGAGGCCCAACAAGTAATGGGCAATCGCTTGCTGGATGATTAGGAGTTGTCATTGTACATTACTCGCCGACTGTCTTGGCGGCAACGACCTTTATAACAACATTATCTTGTTAGAGCTCGCACATGCGAGTGTTGGGTGTAATTGAACATTATTCTCCTCTCATGGTTGCTTTTCTCAAAAAAAGCCTTTTCAGCGTTTTCCTGGATATCATTAATAGCGAGACGACAATATAGGCCATAAGATGTGAAATAGGCTACATGCATTATGATGACAAGTCCAGACCTCAGGCTAATATATACATACACAATGGCTTGCTCCTTCAGCATGTCGCATCAAGCGGAGCCCATCCGCTAGCCCCCGTAGTCTTGTGAATCCGCCCCCGCCCTTGCCCTGCACTACGATGACTTAATCAGGTACCAGCACCACTCAGATGGGATCGCCCCATGGCATGACACCCGTATTAGTCTCGAATCCAATCCATCTAGTCTCCATCTGAAAAGAAAAGGCCATCATGTCAATATCTCTCCATCGCAATATTGACGTCATATATACCAATTACTCAGTCTCACCCTACCAGCCACGCTCCTTAGCCCTGTGACGCGAAGGGGGGGGGGGGGGGGAATGTATAACGCTTCCCTAATCACATATAATCAACCCCCCCTTGTCTCGCTAGAAAGAGAAAAAAAACATAAACGCTAGCAACAGCCAGCAAACTCCTGGTGACTTTTTTCTCAAATGCTCAAAACCTCACTCCAGACTCCCCTCCGCCTTACCACCAGCTCTTTTTCATCGCGCTCGTCGCTCGCCAAACCCGTCACGACTCGCGTCTACCTCGTTACACGGAGTTTTCAGAGTAGCAGTCCTGCATTGCTACCGCAATGCCTGAAGAAAATGGAAGGATATAAGAAAGTCGGGAATAGAGAGGATGCGCCGCCGAAACACGAAATGGTGTATTTCCCCGGTTTAATGAGTGAGAAGCGGAGTTTTGGGGATTTTAGAACGGTGTTGCATACGGGGCTTTACGGTTCGTTTTTTTCTTCTCCTTCTATTACTTGCTCATTCCTTCCTTCCTTCAAAAAAATAGATAGATGCTGACGAAAATAACACAGGCCAGATCGTCGCTATGGAAGTTCCAGTGAATGGAGAGATAGGCGATGAAGTACATCTGGTCGATCAGATCTTACTGTTCACATCAGGCCGGGGACTAGCGACTGTGGCGGGGAAAGAACAGGAGGTAACAGCGGGAGATGTGGTTGTTGTGCCTGCGGGGATGCAACATCAGTTTGTGACGAAGGGGGAACAGCCACTGGAGCTGATTACAGTGTATTCGCCTGCGGAGCATTTGCCGAGTAGTGTGCATAAGAATAAGGAGGAGGGGGATAAGGCGGAGGAGGAGGGCGTAGATGAGGCGCCTGCGTGGGCGTTGAGGGGGAAAGAGGAGAATGAGAAGGAGGGGTTGGTTAGGGAGAGTGGGAAGTACTAGAGGAGAGGTTGAGTTGGATGGGTTTAATGCATTTGGTTAATGAGGATGTGTGTTGTTGAGGATGTAATGAAGAAAAATTGCCAATACAAGTAGGCTAGCATTTGAAGAACGATTTTGCAACAATTGCATGCAAGATGTGTATTAGATATGATGCTTCGCCCTGTGATGAGGTAAAGTTAACAAGATAAATTTCGTCCGTTAGTAATAAGTTGATGCTTCTGCATAACACTTTGAACAGCTCAAGGTGAGACTACTTTATGATTTTGTTGCTGACATGATTAGCTATTCCAAGACACGCGTTTTGCCGAATGAGCAAAGATGAGCAACTGGCGAAAGATATGCATATGTTTGCATCATCCAGAGGAGGGGAAATCCGGTAGCGTCATGAAGATGTCGTCTCAAGAGATCAGGCCTCCACATTCCGGTGGCGAACTAGTCCGGACCCGCTAACAAAACCGTTCTTCTCAACGCTCTTTCGACTTGGCGGAACACGACGCATAGCAAGGTTAGACCCTGTGCCTGTGTGCTGATACAACCACAGCGTTATACAGTCAGCCCGTTGCAACGCCAGTCTCACTAGGTGGGGGAGGCTACGCTCGTCAAGTTTGGCGGGCTGGGGTGTCTGGATAATATCATATCCTGATGAGGTAAAGCTAAGGGTGGACGTGGGTGGCGGCTCAACGACGTAACGATTCTCTAGCGGCAAAACGCAATCATTCCGCAATGGGATGGATGCGGTACATGTGGGGGAGAAGACTGATGGATTTGCAGGCTTCAAAATGCAGGCGTCAGCATGGTGGCAGGGTTTTGTGAGGGCAGCGGGTGGGGCCTGGGTCTGAGGCCGTGGTTATCAGATGGAATAGTCGCCAAGCCCATCGAACCGGCATCTGACAGTGGTAGCTTGTGTTTGGAGATTTGCGCGATTATAGGCCGAGGAGAATTGCACTCGGAGTTGCCAGACATTGATAGGGGTAGCGGTCAGTTGCTGGTGGCGCCATGAAGGGCAGCTGGACCACCATGGTCAGGAGATAGTGAAGAGGAGAAAAGTAGCCGATCAGCGATTACTTTCTTCCATGTGCATGTACCCCTTGTGTCGGAAAAAGCAGGGTCAGGCCGGGAACAACCAGACCAGACCGGCTTCGGCGATGAGATCGGGTGGGCGCCCGCACAAGCGTCATTCGGCACCAGAGCAAGTCCTGGTCTGGTCATCTCAGCCCTTGGAGGCGGCGTCGTTGATCGGCAGTAGCAGGTAGGGAAAAGCGGCCGGGCGCGGAGGGTAGATGGGCTCGTCACCACCATTCTTCTCCCTCATGCGCATACCTTCACCTACCGCCAGACTTTACCTTACACTACGTCCCACTCACTCCGCTCCGATCGCATTGTCTGTCCTGGGATCTAGTACGTGGCCATCGCTTGCGCGGGCTCATTGGTCAGCATTTAGTCGAGGTGAGTATTGAATTTGTGTGTGATGCCACCATCTGATAAGCACAAATTCCGCGGTGCATGGAAAAAGCATCAGATAACCCTTTACTCCCCCACATTGTCCTCACGTCCGTGTCCCGCAGCTTAGCAAACCAGCCGAGGATGCGCGTCCTCACTGACCGACTGAAACCGCTGCTCAGCTTGGACATGATTTCGCACGCATGAGTAACATGTTGCTAATAACAATGGTTCGCGCTAGCAGTGCCCGTTGTCAACTCCCCGATTCCCACGCCGCTCCTTCGTCTTTCCTCTCCACCACGCCGACACATGGCTTCCTCGACATCCACCATGGCAAGCCCCATACCACACACATCTACCTCACACCCTGAAGATCCGATCCCCTCAGAGCCCAGGGATATCCCTCAATTGTCACTGCGGCCGGAGCAGGAGCAGTCGCACTCGGAGTCCGAACATATTTCACCAAAGTCCTCGGGCGACGCCACAGCATGGACGCACAGCAGCGATGATTCAGAGGCTCCCATGACGCCAATCACCGAGCCCGATCAGGCTGTCGACGAGGTCATCGATAAGCTGCAAGAGCTGCCCGCGGCTTCGGTCAACCTGGCGGAGCAGTCGCGACCTCGGCGAGCATCCACGACGCTAATTTCGGACAACCCAAACGATATCAGACGGATACTGGGCGAGGGAGAGACGGCCACCAAGCTCATCAGCCAGTGCTGTGGCGGAGGATGTTGTCTCCTCAAGACACTGGCTCCTGATTCCTCGTCGCCCAACTTCGTCCCTGTCGTCATTCCGGACAACCATGCTTTCCGCACTCTCAATCTCAAGTTGGGTCCACTTGCCCTCGACAGTCAACTCACAGATACAATGCCACTCCCGCCCGTCAACATGGCCTTTGATCCTCTGCCATCCAAGGAAACCAAGTATGTCTCCGAGGTACACAAGATGCCACCCAAATACGTCCAGCCACACCCGCCATACGAAGTCTACTCGGCCCCGCTATACCACGCACGCGAGTTGACCAAGCCAGGCGCGGAGAAGCGCACAATTCACTTCGATATTGACGTCACCGACTATCCAGATGAGGGAGGAGTCGACTTCAAGGTTGGTGGTGCTGTTGGTATCTGCCCGCCCAATTCCCAGGAAATGGTTGACGAGATATTCGACATTCTTTGCATTCCCAAGTTTGTCCGGGAGAAGCCAGTCACGCTCAAGACCTTTTCAGGAAGATGGCCAACTATCTGGGGAGAAGACCAGCCACGCGAACTCGTCACAACTCGCCGCGAGCTTCTGACCTGGTGTACGGATATCCAGTCAAATCCCCCAACCAAGAACCTCCTCCGCGTCATGGCTGAGTACGCCGAGGCACCAAACGAGAAGAAGATCTTGACCTACCTCTGCTCTGCCCAAGGACAGGCTGCTTTCTGTGATTTGCGCACCAGCTCTCACTTTACCGTTGCGCAGCTTCTCAGTGCATTTCCTTCGTCCAAGCCACCACTACCGCACCTTCTTTCCGTCCTTACCCAATTGATGCCACGATTCTACTCGCTTTCAAACGACCCCCACATTTCTTCGGCTCGTCCCGGCCTCCCAGGAACTCGCCGCCTGATCGAAATGGCTGTCACTGTTCATGAAACACCCGATTGGCATGCTGACGGCGCTGTCCGCACTGGTGTTGGCAGTGGCTTCATGGAACGCCTGGCCCATGCCTTTACCAGAACTGAGAATGAAGGCGTCGACCCTCGTAGCATCCTCGATCTCCGCGTGCCCATGTTCCGTGGTCTTATGGCAAACCCTCTTTCCAAGCAGTTTGGCGGAGAAGGACCCATGGTTCTTATTGGTGCTGGTGTTGGAATGGCTCCCTTCCGAGGTTTCATTCTGAACAGGCTCAAGAACGCCAACTGCGCCAACAAGATCTGGCTTATCCAAGGTGTGCGAGACTCCATGCTGGATGAGTTGTACTCTGGCGAACTGGGTGATCACGAGCGCGAAATCAAGAAAGTCGTTCAGAGCCGAAAGGTTAAATCCGGGGGCTCCAACGAAGTCAAATACGTTCAGGACGAGGTCAAGGTGCAAGCTGACATTGTATGGTTCGTCATCAATGCACTCGACGGACGCATTTTCGTCTGTGGCTCTAGTAAAGGCATGGGCGAAGGCGTCGAAGCCTCGTTGATCGACGTCGCAATGCAGAAGGGCCGCATGAGTGAGGCACAAGCGAAGGAGTTCTGGGCCAAGAAGAAGGAAGACGGCCAGTATATTGCTGTAAGTTTGGCTACTCATAAATCGGATGTAACAGACACTAACTTGCATATAGGAAACCTGGTAGAAATTTCTTATCTTACGCATCATTTATCAAAAAGTATGGCTTTCGTCTCAAAAATGCATGCAAAATTCAATCAATTCAACATCGCCACGGCGTTTATTCAAAAGGGCGTCATATAGAAAGGAAGTAGGCAGCCATAAACCTTCTCTGTGCGCATCATTAGCGGATGCCGGCTGACCACGCCTGGGCTGTCTTTCTGGGTCGGAGCGTTTGGTTTTTATTAGACGGGTTTTTCCGCAAGAGCACGGCGTTAATTCAGGTCAGGTTGGGACGTTTTTCAAAGTACCCCAAACTTCAAGTTATCATCATACTAAAGATGTCCAATAGTAACGTAGCTAAAGAAATATAACATTCAACACTATTTCAACTCTTGTGTCTTTGGTCTGAGTTGCCAATCTACTCCAAATGTTGAGGATGGCTAGTTCTGACGTCGCCCTACTTGTACTCACTACCCAAGATTCGGCCAACCTATTGTCAAGCAACGTCAGTAAAAACACTGATTTAGAAGACTGAGCAAATATCGAGGAAAACTCACTCCAAACAGTCCTCTCCCTATTCACCCCCGTAACCCTAACCTTATCCCCAACCCTCCACACCACCTCCTCCTTCCCCTTCTCTTTTCCACCACTACCACCAACCCAAAACCCATACCTCCCAAACACCGGACTCCACCTTGCTCCCTTATCCACTCTCCGATCTCCCTGCAACCTCTTCAACACCTCCCCCTTAACCCCTTCCCCCGGTTTCCCCGTCGCATAATCAATATTAATACTCTTGCACCTCACACAATTATGCAGGAGCGCTATTTCTGTCTCTTCTCCTCCTCCTGCTGCTGCTGCTGCTTCCTTTGCACTCTTGATACAGATGCGCGACCAAAAATCCTCGTCCCACGCTTCCTTTGCGCCGGATAAGAGGATGTTGGGGCGAAATTTGGTAATGTCCATTTCGGAAGCGATGCGTGAGGAGACGGAGGAGAGGGAAGGGGTGGAGGTTATGAGGTAAGGGGCGCAGTCTGTGAAGGTGAGGGAGTGGGAGAGTTTGGGTTCGGCTGGGTTAGCAGGGGAGGATGGGGCAAGGTTGCTGAAGCGTGGGGAGCGGCGGTGAGAGCCGAGGTAGACGAGTTCGACGTCAAAGCCGAAGCAGGTGCTGAACCAGGTGTTGTAAGATGGGGGCATGCGGTAGGCGGTTGTGGGGCTGTCGTGGAGGGAGATTTCGAGGGTGGGGAGGGTGGAAGTTGAGGGGGTGAGGGGGATGGTGAGGCTGGATTGGTTGGCGGTGGAGCCGTGGGCTAGGTAGTGGATTGTGAGGGTGGAGTTGGCGGTGCTGCTGCTGGAAGTATTGTCGGGCGGTGGGGAGATTTCTTGGAGGAATTGCGTCATTTGGGGGTAGGATGCTACGGCCATGTTTTTGTAGCCTGTGGGTGTTTTTTCGAGGAGCATGAAGGAGCCTGGAGTTTTTTGGTTAGGTAGGTTGTTTGGATTGCTATTCATGGCATGTGGATGGTATTGAGAGAATGATACTAGATCATGATTCTCTCAAGCCTTGGGCAGAGTGATATGGAAAGAAAGAGAGGAGGGTTTACGGTCGTGTGCAAAGCCATGTGGTGTTGCAATGGCTGAAGCCAGTTTGATTGCTCGTAGCGATTTAATCGGGTACACGTAGATCTGTTGAAATTGGTTGTTAGCAACTAAAAACCCTCTACGCTCAATTTCGAGATGAACATCATGAGTGAACAGGATGTCCGAATCTACGTACCTCTGATATCTCCATCTCTGGTAGCGCTTTTACTGTGGCTGATGACGGACTAGACCGGCCGAAGAGATAATAGCACACCAGGATAACTGGTGTGATGTAAAGTGCAGCCAGGAGCCATGCTGGTTGTGACATCTTCGCTAGTATCCTCTTCAATTGATCTCGCAAACGGTGAGCTGAGGCAGATGTAAGAACAGCAGTGATGCCATCCTCTAAGCCGAGGTGTACATGGAGATCCCCTACCCCACGTACGTATGTACATAAGCACGCCCTTCCGAGACGCTAGAGGGAAAGTAAACTATTTTCGGGTGTTTGTTTCCGGCTATATGTCATGTTGCAGCCATGCATATATTTTCACACGTCTTCCATTTTTTCTGAATGTAAATAATATTTCTTAAGCCTTGATAACAGTGAATTTTATCTATGGTCTTAGAGCATTAAACCCCTAAACCCGCTTTCCGAAGACCCTGAATCTCTTCACTCCGCCGTCAGGAATAATTACAAGTTTTGCGTGTGTGTACCCCTTGCCTGATTCCTTCAACTCAGCCTTGTACACATGTTCTGTATCTGGGCCCGACTTCTGCGGGGCCAGAACTTCCGTCCATCCTGCATCGTCGTGACTGGGGTCTTTGTCAAAAGCACCTGCGAACACCTGCACCTTTTGTGGGAAGTTGCCCCTGAAATGCGCAGTGTCGATAACAATGTGATCAATCTCGCCCTTTGCTCCAAGCCTTACAATCGTCCAATCAACATGTTCACCACGTGTGCGCTTCGTTTCCCAGCCATCGCCCATGTCCTTTCCGCGGCCAGGAAGGAGCAGGTTGTCTTTTGTACCGAAATGCTGGTCAGAGCAAGATGTTGCAACGCCGCCCATGACTGTTGCAGAGAGCTCAAAGACAGCATCTGCTGACTGAGGGAAGACAGGAACAGCAACGCCGTACAGGCGGAAACGCGCAATGCCACCATCTGGGTACATGAGCAACCGAACATGAGTGTATGCCTTTTCCGTGATGTTGGGAAGCAGCCATCCATGCCGTTGGCTGGGTCCACATTCCTGCTTGGACAGTATGGTCTCCCAGCCTGCAAAGCTTGGCTTCTTAACTTCCTCTTCATCCTTCTCATTACTGATAAAAGCGCCTTCAACCACAATTTCTGGAGCGTGGTTGCCGTTGAAATGGGCAGTGTCAATCTCAATACCCGCCACTTTTCCGCTAGCAGTACCCAGTCTCAAGACGACCCAGTCTGCAGGCTCTGGGTTGTGGCGGCGCGTCTCCCAACCATCGTACCAGGCTCCGGTATGGACGAAGACACCCGGTTTACGGATTGGTGGAGTTGGCGTTATCAGATTTTCTGCTGCAGCAAAGTATTCATCGCTGAAGGATAGCACTTTTGAACCGAGAGGTGCAGATATAAGGTCTAAACAGTGTCAAAAAAATTACACCAAGAGTACATATTCCAAGTGTATCATACCTGTGTACTTTGACTTGAATGTGGAATCGATTTCCTCAATTGGGATTGAACGAGCCATGGTGTAGAGTTTGACAATTTATCAGAAGGTAATTGAAAAGATTCAAAGCTAGAATTTGGATGAATTGACAAAAAGAACGAGGAATCGACCGCTGTTGGAAAGATGTATGAGACCAACACGGAACTATGGCGGGGTGGTGGGGTAGCTTAGACCCTGTCGAACAACGCGTGCTACCTATCGGAGGCCGCCGACCATGGATATTCAAGGGCCGATGGCGGAGTCAAGCAGATAGCCGGCATCACTATTTTCAATCGAGTAATAATTTCATACTAGACCAATCGCCGCCATACCTTCTGTAAATTTTTAGATAATCATAAATTGGAAAACTAACACAGAAGCATCTAACCCAGAGTACGGTAGCCTGATGGGTTTCAAGCGCACAAAAGGTTATCAGTCGGTAAAGCTAGGTCATGCGAGCGAAATATCGACATCTTCGCATTTGCTGTCGACAGCACTAGCCATATTTAAGAAGAATCTATCGGTCTTTTCATGCTATAATGATATCCAATCGGCCCGGTCCATCTTACATCTCATGCCTTCAACCCAATCAGCCACCAGGTCGCCTTTACGAGCGTCTGTGGAGTATGCAACAACAGGGGAAGTGGCTTTCAACCGAGCAGATGTTCGTTGAAACACGGATGCTTCACTGATAACTGAGCTAGTTGCGGTTGATATTTCTCTACTGGGGACCGGTTCCTGCCACGGACACGACAGTCGTGGCAGCGAGTGCTAGGCACGACGTGGCTTGAAGGAATTCGGCCTCCAACCGAACCAGGCAGAATGGAAGCAACTATTCCGTACCATAATCAGCAAGGATTTGCAACTCTATCAACCTTTTCTATCTTCACCCAAAGCTTGGATCATTCCATGATGACTCTGAATAATATGAGCTGCCGTTCTTGTTCATGCCGCCACTTAGATCTAGTTTAGCCATGAACTCCGGAGGTACAGTGGGAATATACTTCCGTTCCCTCTCCTTGTTGACGCCACCGAAGCCGGCGCCGTAGCTGATGAGCATGTCTGTCGATGTTGGTAATGAAAACGGTAGCATATACGAAGGATCCAGAAGAAGCTCGTCGGGAAGTTCGTCATGCTCTTCCTCATCAGACATTCGTGAGGGCGCAGGCGAGGGCTCGATAGGTCTCTCGGCAGTTGGTCTGACGGGTGTGGTCGGCGCCGAGTCAAGATTCGGTGATTTCGTTTTTGCAGCTTTTCGATCGGCTGCGGCCTTTTGTAGGTGGTCAATGTATTTTGATGCGCTTTTTGGGAGACCTTTTTCGCCGACTTCTGGTCTATAGTATTTTGCAGTATGCAATAGCTGTTGAGGCGACAGACGCGTCAGCTGCTGCAACGTTCCTACAAGCGACTCTAAATCCTCGCCAAGTGATGAGAAACATTGTAACCATTGAAGTAGTTGGATCAAAGGCTCGAGGTGCCGCTTAGCAGCATCTGCAGTGTTCTCCCCAGTGGAGGTCATGGAGCCGTTCTCGTAGTGCTCTGGCTGCCGGTTGTTTGATCGCGCCCAGTCTTCCAGTGTCGAGACATTCATGCGTATCTGCATAGCCTTCGTTCGAGCTAGGTATTTTCGATTGGACATTATGCGGTTGAAAACTTCGGCAGAAATCCAGTATATCAGCTGCGATAGCGCCTGGGCTGTAATGACGGAATGGACGTCGTAAAGATCAAGAACAAACAAAGTAGATGCAAGAAGGGAAGTGATGTTTCGTGGTGAGGGCTGCGCTCGACGCTTCGGGGACGGCGGTCGGAAGCGTTTCTCAAGTGGCTCTACGGGCTTCGCCTTTGGCTTTGAACGAAATATTTTCCATTCGTGCTGGAAATGCACATCTTCGAATCCGGGCATCGGCTCGTGGTCCAGCATCGCCTGATCGAGATTCTTGTCCATTCTCCGCTCTGCATCACGAATGATCAAGATGAAGATTTCATTGATCAGTTCGGCCATTTGGAGTTGGAAGTTGTTGGTGGCCCCCATCAATCCGCCATCTTTTTTGAGATAATGCAAAAGTAAAGTGGCATTTGACATCCAGAATGCTAGCACAGTCATATCCCACTGGTGCTTTTCAACAACGTCATTGATCTTGTTCATGGCAGATACGAGTAATGTTTCGAGGAGTTCGGGATTGGCGTGATAGTGTGCATACCGGGCACTGAGGAAAAGTATGTTCGCAGGTACCGGCTTTTGCGACGGGGAGCGTTGTGGTGTCATGTTGGTGATGATGATGTCGAGGATGCGTTCGAGCTCGTTTTCTTGGAAGACAAACATTTGATCATTGAGGCACCTATCCCATATAAACTCTTGGGCCTCTTCCTCTGGCTCCTCAGGAGACTATAGCGGTTAGCGGTGCGTTTACGCTGGGAACCATGGCCCATACCTCTGGCTGTTCGTCCAAGCCGAGATTGCCAATATCAACTTCCAGGTTGAAGGCGCTTTCCATCATCATGCGTCGCTTCATGTCATTCTCCTGCATCTCCTGCTCAAAGCGATCTTGCGAGAAACCAGAGCTGTAAAAGTCATCTCCAACACCCACATTGCCAATGGCATATCCGCTCTCGTGAAGGTACTCGGAAAGTTCCGTGTTGGGTTCAACAAAATCGAATGCGGTCCTCCCGCCCGAAGATTTGACGTCGGTGGATGCTCCATGCTCTAGTAACAGTTTAACGATATCCTTGTGTCGGTTCGTCATGGCCCACATGAGGGGGGTCCAGCGGTTCCTGTCCTGTATATCAACAGTTGCGCCTTGATCGAGTAGGGTTGCCGCGACATCCTCGTGGCCAAAGCAACTTGCGTAGACTAGTGGCGGTGTGCCCTCGGCGTCGACCCCATTGATGTCGATGTATTCCCGAGCCTTGCCGTCGAGCAACCGCTTCACCCTCTCGAGTTCGCCGTTGGAGGCAGCCAGGGTGAAGAGGCCTTGCAGGGCTTCCCTCTTCTCTTCGTGTGACAACTTGTCGTCAGCAACCACTTTTGCTTCATCGCCTGCATTGTCGTTTTTTAGGCGTGCCTGGTGGGCGAGCATCTGTACCAGACGGCTATCACTGTCCTCGAGCTGCTGCATGTCCTCATCGCCAAATGTCGGGTCGTCGAGCGAGAGGTTGAAGCTGAGTGGGCGGGCGGGCATGGGGGTGGTGAGGAATTGCGACTGGCCTACGTGGTGTTAGCGGCCCCGTTTGCAGCATGGCTCCTGCCGGATGCAGCAGCGCCTACCTTGCCATGCATCGTATATCTCAGTCTCCTCGTTCATGATGTGGACGGGTCTCCTGTCATTGAGCGAGGTGGGGAGGTCGGGGGGCAGTTGGCGTGGCCTTTGCGGCTCTCCGAGATCGCCTGAAAAGGCATGTGCGTGGTCGGGAGAGTCCATGATGTGACATTGAATTGGGGGCGGGGCGGAATCGTCAGCAGCAGGCGCTCGTCAAGGGCAGCTATCTCTGGGGGAGATGCATGGGGAGAATGAGTAAATGTCGGGGAGAGTGCTGGCCACTCGGGGCGTAGTGGGGCAGGTGCGGTGCGGTGCGGGAGCCACGCTGGCGGGACGGGTGCGGCGAGTCGAGCAGTTCGCAGCCAGGCGGTGTCGAGGGCGTCGGGGGGCCAATGGCGGCGGTGGTGAGGATATGGCGAGGCGGCTATATGTGCGTCGTGGTGGGTGTGTATGCGGAACGGGTGCACCGCTTGTCGTCGAGGATGAGGCCGCTACCCGGCTGGTGACGCGCCAGGGCGATCTGCTGCACTAGGCCGTATCAGGCTGTCACGTCTAGAGTACCGCGGGGGTGATTACATGTGTGCACCAGCCGTGGCCGCATTCGCTCCAGATGGGCGGCTGATGCTGCTGCTAGACGGCCCATGTTTGGAGAGGCGTCTCAGCGGACATGCATGCTGGCGGCGATGCGGTTGTGGGCAGACAAGGCCTGTACCAGCGGAGGGGGGGCAGGCCTGGCAAGGCAAAGGCCCAAGGCCCAAGGCCCAAGGCGGTGGCAGACCAGGCGCATCTCCATTATGACGTCCTCCACACCCCAAGCAGCGAACCAGCGGACGAGGCCAGGCGCAAGGCTGCTGTTGCGGACCGCGCCCATGTGTTGTGGCTGATGGGCCATCAGTAAGCACGCGTTGGAGTCCTGCTCTCCACACAGGACGGCCGCTCGTTCAACGACGATAGAATCCACCGCCCCCCCTCTCTTGCCACCCCCGACCCTCGTTCCCAATTGCGCCCTCGCCATGGCAGTCGCACCCCAAGTGACTGCGTGATCCATTCGCCTGCTGCCCTGCCACCGCGCCCACTCCGCCCAAACCCGCTCCTCCATCCCACCAAGAGCATGCCTTAGGCCCGTCGCGGGCCCCAACAACCACACCCACACCATGACGCCCAGCCAAGCCTCCGGCAGGGCTGCGCGCTTTGCCCATATTCTTGCGCGCCTGCAGGAGCTCCCCAACTACGTCTGGGACTCGGAGATTGAGCCTTTCCATTCGGTCAGTGCCCGACCTCCACCACCACCACTACCACCACCACCACTTCGCCCATCGCAGCAAGTGCGCTAATCACGTGCAGTCATATGACAATTGGCATTTCTTTGGTTACGAGCGGACACCCCCGCGCCAGGAGCGCCCGCTCTCGAGGGGAAGGAGCGACATCACCTCGTCCACCACCTCGCATTCACCGGGCGCCACCCGTCCAGCTTTCCATCGCAGCCATCGCAGCTCCGGCTCAGAGGCGAGCGCCTCGACAGTCCAAACACACCATACACAAACCACCGCCAAAGCCCTTGCTCCCGATGGCCGTCCTGTCGTGTGCCGCGTGTCACAGCAGGCTCTGCGACTGGAACGCGAATTCCACCTCTCCAAGCTGGTTGTCAAAGAGTCGGACCCTGAAGGCAGGCATTTTGTCCGTCCCATCGAATTTGTGCGCCTGCCTGCAAGGCATGGAGAAGACCAGCTGGTTGCCAGCATAGTCGAAGCCCCAGGTCCAAACTTCCTCAAGGAATTGGTCGATTTTGGACCAAACTGGTACAATTTTCGCAAAAGCACAAACGGCAACACGCCACCCCAACTAGATGCCCTGATGTCCAATCATGGTGTGCCCCTCCTGACTTTTCTCGATTTCGCCGTTGGATCGGTAGAGTGTCTGGAAATACTGCATCATGGCCACGAAATCGTGCATGGCGAAATCCGTGGCGATGCTTTCCACTTCGCAGAAACGGGGGCCGTCAAAATGATTGTGAGTAGTTTCTCTTGCGTCCTCTGCAAGGAAAACCTGCTAAACTTGACCAGAATTTTGGAAGCGGGGCACGTTCGTTTGAGAATGGCCTGACAAGTGCTGGCTGGAGTGCGTTGTCCAAGGAAACTGGGGTTGAGTTAAAGCTGGCTTTCATCTCTCCCGAACAGACGGGCCGTATGCCTGCCGAGCCGGATACCCGAACAGATATATACAGTCTTGGCATCCTCTTCTACACAATGCTCTGTGGACATACTCCCTTTGACGGAAGCACCGCTCTTGATGTCATGCAAAACGTCATCAGCAAGCGCATCCCTCCTGTCTCTTCGATACGTCTGGACATTCCTGAAGCTCTCTCTGAAGTCATCCAACGAATGACGCAACGAAGCATTGAAGACCGATATCACTCTACATCGGGGCTCAAGCACGACCTCGCCCGCATACGCGAGCTGCTCTGTGAAGGCGATGTCGAGGGATTAAAGGCATTCCAGGTTGGCTCAAAGGACATCAGCTGCTTCTTTAATCTTCCACTCAAGCTGATTGGCCGCGAAAAAGAGCGAAAGACTATAGTCGATGTGATTGAGCGAGTAGCGAGGCACCGCCGTAACGGCGTCAAAAACCTGCAGAGCATGAGTTCAGGATCGTCTTATTCAGATCAGCGACTGGATCTGCAATTTGATGATCTTATCTCGGAGAGCACCAGTTCGAGGGGTTCCGAAAGCAGAATGAACAGCGTCTCGGCAGACGGTCCTGTTTTCATGGAGGCGGCTCGATCGATACAGCAAGGCTCCCAAGACAGCATCACACAATCAGAAACGTCTACAGCTGATGGTAGTTTGGACAACCGACCCCAGCTACAACTCGCTCATAGAGGACGGTCTAACAATAGCATTGAGAGCTCAGCACTGCATTCTCGCTCACACCAGTCTAACGATGGTTTGCGCACTTTGGCAAGCACACGGAGACTAAGGCGCAAAGCTCGCTGCGAGGCAAGTACAAGTTCTGTCATCATCTTCTTGACCAGCACTAACCTGTAGCAGGTATGTCGAGGACCAAAATACTACCCGTCTTTCGAAATCACCAATCAATATGTACTAATCTATCATTGTAGGTAATAGCAATTGGCGGAGCTACTGGACTGGGAAAGTCCCGCTTAGTGCAGAGCATACAGAGCACTGCGCGGAGTACGGGTTACTTTGCAATGGCCAAATTCGACCCCGACAAGAGGGCGCCTTTCGACCCTATTCTCAGACTCATGTCTTCCTTTTTCAGGCAAATATTCTCCGAAGCAGATGTCACGACTGAATTTCACCAACGATTACGTCATTACCTCAAGAGCAGTGGTGTTTGGATGGTCCTGCGGAGTTATCTTGATCTACCTGAGTGGCTCTTAAATACAAACAACGGACTCAAAACACCCCAGCAAAAGGACATAGATTTTGTCAAGGATCGTCGCGCATCCTCTCCTGCTGTCCATTGTGGAGGTGCTGGGCACACCGCTGAGGCCTGGCTACGAAGTGGGGGCGCCTCCAAATCGTCCCGGTTTATGAATGTCTTCATTGATGTTCTGCGGCTCCTTGCAATGCACAAGCTCTGTACTTGGAGCCTAGAAGATGTCCAAAACGCCGATCCGGAAAGTGCAGAGCTCATACACCACATTGTCCAGGCCAAAATACCTCTTGTCTTGATGTTCACTTACACCGACGAAGAGTCTTTACCCCGGGAGCTCGTTCCCCTTCTTCGGAACGCCACCAAGGTCCAGCTACTACCGTTCACCGAAGTTCAAACTGCCGAGTACGTGGCGGAAACTCTTCATCGAGATCATCAGTACATACTCCCCCTGGTGGCTGTCATTCAGGAAAAGTCTAGAGGCAACCTGTTCTACATACGGGAAATATTGGACACGTGCTATAGGAAACGATGTGTCTTCTATGAATGGCGAGAGAATAATTGGGTTTTCGACTTAGATAAGGTCTTTGAAGTCTTCGAATCTCCGGACTATGGATCTGCTGTTACGACGGATTTCATTGCCCGACGCCTAACGGATCTGCCCCGTGAGAGCAGAAAACTCCTTGCGTGGGCTTCGCTGTTGGGCGGTACATTCTCTTTCGGGCTTCTAAAGAAACTCTTGAAACCGACAGGCCAAGAACCCCCTGGCGCTAGACTGCCGCTCTTCGACAAGAACGAATGTGCTGTCACAGCACTCAATGAAGTACTCAAAGCCTACGTGTTGATGCCTGCGGAGCAAGATGCTCGGTTCAGATTCGGTCACGACAGATACCTGGCAGCAGCTTCCAACTCGTTAGTCAATGAGTGGGACACCCAACTGATGCACTATACTATTGCCAGAATGATCCTTTCTGGAAAGGAGTATCTGGATGATCCAGAGTTGAGTTCAAAAGCTTTGTATATGCAGAGTCGCCACATCTGTCTTGCTGCAGAGTTGATCAAGTCCAAGGAACCAATACGGGCTCCATTTCGTGACATGCTCTACCAGGCAGGAGAAACGGCATGTGAGTCTGGCGCGAGATCAACGGGTATCTACTACTTTGCACACAGCCTCAAGCTGTTGCAAGATGATCCATGGGATGAAAGCAAACCAGATGTTTCATATCAGGAGACTTTGCAACTCTTTGTTCGTTCAGCCGAATGCTATTGGCATCAGGGCATGTTTGACGAAGCTCTGAGTCTGATCGAGACTACGTTTCAGCATGCGAGAAACCCATGTGACAAGGCCAGCTCGTTCATCCTTCAATCCCGTGTCTTTGCCGTTCGTGGCGATAGTTTGGGGTATGTAATTCCCATATTCTCCCCTTACAGAAATGACTACCATGACTTTCTTGGATTGTAAGCTAATAATGTCACTATGTACAGAGCACTTCAGGCTTTGAAGAATTGTCTATCTATGCTTGGATATCCTATTCCTCCCACGACATGGGAAGCATGTGATGCACAGTTCCAAAAGCTTTACAGTAGGCTTCAAGCGACTGACAAGAACGAACTGCTTACGCCCCAATCGCCAACCAACGACCGTATTTTGATGACCATTGGGCCTGTATTTGTTGAGCTCCTTAGTGCGGCGTTCTGGTCACACAGCTTGCTGTTCTATCAAGCAACACTAATGTTAATCCAAGTACACCTTGACCGAGGCATCA